GACAGAGTGGGCATACTAGTTATACTATGGTTACACTAGGCATATAACTGTGAATCAGTGACTGTTCATTGTTTTTAGTGAAAAGCCACTGACTTTTAGAGAGCGGATCGCGAATAACATCTGAGAATGATTTTCGCGGATATCGTTAAGAGAAATGCCACGAGTTTCTAGAGCGAGCGAGCGCGAGACGCTGGTGCCTCGCGCGAAACAATCTGTCCGTCAAAAAGGAAGGAACGAAAGGCGGGGATCAATAATTTAGACCGAAACGGCCCCGACGAGGTTCATATCGTCTCCAAATGATTCGAGCCGAGTCGCGATAGCACGTGATTGCGCGCATATAAAATGCGCTTTCGACAGCGCAGAGAAAATTTCGCATACGCAGATTATTTATCGAACGGTTACGACACAAAAATGCCCGCCGTTTAACGCAACGAAACCTTGATTTGCTGCCGCATACGAGGATTCCGAAGGAGGCAATGCACCGCCTTAATTCCAAATTAACGAAATTCAAACGAGTTCATTTCTTCGAATTGAACGAGACAACAGGACAAAATTCCATAATTATAGAGACCGATAATCCCTCGATTCGGAAACTCTTCGTTCCAGTGTTTTCTCCGGCAGGAAATACTTCTCGTTCTAACGTAGAATTTTATTAAAAATAAGAGAAACAATTTTAAAAATTCCAAATTGTATTATTATACCGGCAATTTGAAGAAAAAAAAAACAAAGCTCCTAGCGACAAAGCAGGATGTAAGTGCTAAAAGTGTAATTGCAACACACTCGTTTGTAATTTAATAAACGCGTACACTTCGGCTCCATTGCCTTTTTCCTTATTTATTTTGATTGTTCATCTTCAGGAGCTCTGTTTCTGTTATTTTTAACAAAATTCTACGTTAGAACGAGGAGTATTTCCAGCTGGAGGAAACACCGGAAAGAGGTATTTCCAAATCAAGGGATTACCAATCTATCATTATGGCCGTAATTTAACGGAGATCGGAACCGCGTTACAATCCTCTCGTTAAAACGTAATGTCATATTGCACGTCGCAAGACGCGACGGCGATCCCGCTCCCATGGCTGGCTTGCGTAAGGACGATCGATGTTCCAATAACGCGTCGCAGATTCTTTGTCACGCAAATAGTTTTATCGGATTATTGACCTTCGTCGTGTGCACCGACGGAGAAGACGGATCTATTAACGGGACGAGGAGAGCCAGGCTTCGATTATTCGCGCCTGACAAGAGAGGGATAACCATCTCGCGGAGAAATCGCGTGGTTTATCGACAATTGGTTGCTCCTGATTCGCGCAATAAGCGGCCTTACGGCCGCAAACGTGCCGCGCGACGCGGCGACGTTCGTTCCCATTAATTCGGCCGCGAAATTGTTTTTCCTCGCGCGCTACCATTGCGCGCAATTAACCGAGCTGCCACTCGGTTCGCAAGGCGATATCTGCACGCGCACTTCCCCCGCCGTCGAATTGATTGTTTGCAAATAAACGTCGCGTTACATAATTGCCTTGTTACGGAACAAGTAAGAATTACGCGCGTCGCAAATGTGCGCGTTCCCATTCCAGCGGCAGAAGTTGTAAAATTCGTCAAATTACAGAAATTTAAAATATAACTGTCGGTTATGTAAGGTCGCCCCAAAACTTCCTACAGTTAGCACACTCTTGCTACGCTGTTCGCATGTCATCGAATGTCGATTCGAGTCGATTTTAACCAATTCAAAGGATTACCAGGTGTCGCCGCTATTTCTGCTCATTGTCAGTGCAGTTAAAAATGACACGAAATTGTGAGTGCAATAGGTATGACACTACAAAAAAGTTGACAGCGTACGTTTTATTTATATACACGTTCCAGAATCGATAGGGAAGATTAGATTCGTTCTCGTCAGCGAGAACATTGAGAAGCATCGATCCGCGCGAAGCCTCTCTAAACCGATTTCGGATTCGGATTAAACCGAAAACCTCCCCGAGCTTGGAAACAGCGTTGAACGATGTTTCCGATTTGACTCTGGATGGCCTGTATGCCGTAATGTACGGCACAAAAGCGAAGAACAAAGTTAGGTCACGGATCGATATTGCACGGCGGGGGACCTAAGGGACACCCTCGTACATCGTTGAAATGCGCCACGATACGCTTCTCGCATTCGGGCAGAAATCGACGAAATGGCAGCGCACAAGGAGAGACTCCACGGGCGTTCGGACCTGTGCACGCGACATTTATATATAGATATATAAATATATATATAGCTTGTTCGACGACGCGGTTGAAAATTCTACGCTGCTTTCCCAAGGCGCAGGTAAAATCGTGAAGCGAACGAGCGGATTCCACGGGAAAGCGTAGCGAGGTAAAAGTGAAAACACACTCGTTTCTCGTCCGCGTCATCGCGATTATATTACAAGCAGCCGGACTATGTCGCGACGACTCATAGTTCGATAACGCAAAGTGCAACGATGAGAACGTAGCGCCTTTGTCTTCGGTTACAGCAGAAAGTGCCTATCTACGTGGGCTAATGACAACCGCATTACGTCTGCTTGTATGTCGTGTAAAATGCATGGAAAGAAAATCTCAAATTATATAGAGACTAAATAGACCCTAGACCGCGCGTCGTTGTGTCCAACAGTACAGTTTTAAAGAAAGAAAGCCAACGGCACACGATACTACTTTTCCTACTGGATTGCTTACGAGAGCCAATCAGGATTAAAGCCAACGGCACACGGTACTATTTTTCCTACTGGATTGCTTACGAGAGCCAACCAGGATTTAGCTTCAAGTCACCTGATCTAAAACTCTGCATCCTGATTGGCTCTCGTAAGCAATCCAGTAGGAAAAATCGTATCGTGTGCCGTTGGTTTTAGCTTTAAGTCGCCTGATCTAAAACTTATTGGTTCTCGTAAGCAATCCAGTAAGAAAAATTGTATCGTGTGCCGTTGGCTTTAGATCGGGTGACTTAAAGCCCGTATATCAGACTACGGATTGAGATTGAGATTGAGATTAGATTGAAATTTGACTGATTAGAATAAAAGTCACTAAACTTTTGCGATTGGTCAAATTACAATTTAATCTTAATCTCAATCCGTAGTCTGATACAGGCTCAAGGCTAAATCCTGATTGGCTCTCGTAAGCAGTCCAGCAGGAAAAATAGTATCGTGTGCCGTTGGCTTAACTCGTGCCATTTTGAAACAAATAAGGCCGACAAGTACCACTATTAAGGCCTGGACCAAGTTCCTAGCATCGTGCACGCGGGCCTTTAGAGACTTGAACTCGGCACACCCAGTCAGAAGTGACTCGTTGATCGACGTCAATATGGCGGTTTCGATGTCGACACGGCATCGTTTCGACGTCGGTCGCCGAGTCATTTCTGACTGGGTAGAATTACGAAACCCAAAACAATTTCTACAGAAATACGTAGATCGATATAATATCTTTATTGTCTCCCTTTGGGGTATATGAGGTATAGACTTATATACTAGACTGCGCCATCCGTAGGAGGCGTCGGTCGTAAGATATAGAAAGAGAGGAAGAGCTGAACTGAGTCAATGTGTCTCTGTCTAACTTGTTCGTTTTCTTCCCACTCACGAACTCTTTTGATATGTCTGCACTCTAATGTTTAGGACAGCGCGTCCATAGGGATGGCGCGGTTTAGTATATAAGTCTATGCCTTGGGGCCCTTGGGGTTGCAAGGTTCTTTTCGAGGGAGCGTTTTATCGTATTAAATCCGTACGCGAGACGCGAGTTACACTTTGTTCAGCTGGCGGGACAACTCGGCGCTTTCTACCGAAAGACCCGCGCGCCACGGCTAGACATCGGGGCACCGTGGCGAAATAGATTTGATTAACGCGAGCAAGAGCGTGGGAGCATCCTCCTGGTCCGGATGCTCGTGAAATTCTACCGTCTGCACGACCGGTTCGTCGGTGGGAATCAAAGTTTACGGTCTCGCGGACTCGAGGTCGACCGGTGTTGCCTGGCTGTCGCAGCGTTGCCTCGGAAGTTCCTTTATCTCCCTGGCATTCGTCGAGGGACCGCGATAAGGCGTCCGCCGATTTCGAAAACAGACTCGCAAAAGATATCAAAATACAGTCGCGTACAACGCACAGCGGCTATTTATAACCGTACGTGAGAACTGCGCGGAACATTTTTCTCGAATCCATACATTCCGAGCTCTCTCCATTATAGATGAGTTCTAGAACTTCTATTACGGTATTCTATTTATGATCCTACGTCCCTATCTGGTGGATACTATTTACGAGCCGACCGGGGCCAAGATCTTTCCTTCTCCCAGTTTATTCTGGACCGGCTCCTAAGAGTTCTTTTCACCCGTAATTCTATAGTCTTGTTCGTAAATTTCTATTTATAATTCCCAGCAGGAGCAACAGTCCCGCTCCTTCAACTGCCCGATGAATCCTGAGTCTACCTTACGCGACCCGCCAAGAGATCTCGGGTTTCGTCTGACTCTAACGAATGTCAGCGGTGAAATGCGGGCCGATAAGATCGTTCCAGTTTTCCCTCTCGAAGCAGACGAGGCTGACGAAAGTGAGCCAATCAAGGCTTGAAACGCAATTGTTCCTCAGCCGCGACCAAACGCTAATTTGGCACTGAACTTGAAACTATTTCGGATCGTCAATCGCGATGTCGCGATAGACGGGGCCCAGCCCGCGACCAAGGTGTCCGGCGCATCTTCGCGGAGGACGCGCGACCGACGACGCTGAAATAGACGTCCGCCCCGGTCGTCGCGCCAGGCGGGAGATCGCGGACGACGCGCGTTGAACGGGCGAGCGCGTCCCGGCCGGGCATTCGATGGATTCGGAGCAGCGGGTAGAACGGCTTGCGAGAAATCTCCCAACTCTCACCGAGCATTCGACACAGCCGTTGCCGAGGGGGGGGAGGGGCTGCCCTCCACATAGCCCTCCCCCTCTCCCCGCCTCCGCCTCATCCGCGCCTTTCGTTGAGCCCGTTGAGCCCCGCTCTTTCACAGCGGTTCTCTCGCCTCCCTCTCGCTCGCGCTCGGCGTCATCCCCTGCATCACTCTCTCTCTCTCTCTCTTGCATCCTGCTCGCAGAGTGCCGGGGCCGAGTCTGCGTCGGCGCCGAGCGACTGGGGGAGTCTCGGCGGTGTTGCCGGTTCGCTCGAACCGGTGCTCGCCACGAGGAGAACCCGCTCCGCCAGAGCCGTGGCCGGAGCTCCGCTCCATAGTCGGTTCTTGCATCTGACGCGCGGCGGGCGAACGCGGCCGGCCGTCGGGAGCGCGATATGCACGAGCGTGTCATGTGACACGCGTGACAAGTGGTGCGCGGCCGCGGCGTTGCTACACACGACGCCGGGGACGGTTATCGCGTGCGGCGGTAGGATAAGAGGAAAGAAGGAAGAGGCGGGACGAAAGAGAAGAGACAAAGAGAAAGGGGGGAGAGAGAGAGGAGGGATAGACTCGAAGGAAAATAAACGTTCTCGCGTACAGTTGTTGCGTGCGTGCGTGAGCTCATCGGTTTAACGTTCTTCGTGCCCCTAGCCTGGTGTTCCCCCCCCCCTCCCCGCGAGGTCGAATCTGCTCGTCGGTGCCGGTGCGAACCACGGTACGCGATAAGGTACGGTACGGTACGCGAGCAAATATGTTACCGGCGCGACGTGGCAACAGTACGGACGGACGACGACGACGACGACGACGAGCCACCAGGAGCACCATCCACGCACCGTCATCCGTCGAGACGCCACGACGCCGGACCGTTCGCGTACGGTCGGAGCCCTGAGACTCCTTTCTCTTCGCGTTACTGCCCGTCCAGTGTCGCTCCCGTCGGGGGCGATAAATTCGGGATAGCCTGCGGGGAACACGAGCGTGATTCTCGGCAGGTAGGTAGTTGCAAGGCCCTCGAGGGTTCTTAGGGCTGCGTTAGGCTGGCGAGCGCGACGAGCACGTGGTCGAGTGATCGATATATTTAAACTGCTAGCGGTAGAGTGGAAAAGAAAGAGAGAGAGAGAGAAAGGAGAGCGAGAGATAGGAAAAGTGTAGTCTATTTACGGTAAATAGAATCTTTGTCCTTCGGTCGGTCGACGGCATAAAAAAAGGTCGACACCGTCGGGCAAAGAGAGAGAAAGAGAGAGAGAGAGAGAGAGAAGTGCGGTTCGCAACGGGCCGTAGTTGGAGAAAGTCCCTCGCGAGGAAAAGCCCACCCGTCAGGACATGGGAGATCGCTGTACCCGTGCAAATCATCACATTGCAGGTTTTAGGAATGCGGGTGGCGAGGGGAGGTGATGGCCCGCGCTTGAGGTGGTTGTTGTTTCTGGTCACGGTGGTGGTGGCGGCGGTGGTGCGGGTCGCGGGTACACCCTCGGACACGCTGCCGTCGTTGACGGGCGCGTCCCTGCCGTCGTCCTCGCGAGTAGAATGTCCAGATGGGTGCGAGTGCGCGGATCATACCAAGCACGGCGGCGGCGGCAGCAGCCTGAGATGCGCGGGGCGCGAGCTGTCCGGCCTCGCGCTGCCGCGAGACGTGACGAGCGTGTCGCTGAGGAACGTCCGGGTGAGCGCGATCCGGGCGACCGTCCTGGAGGGAGTCGCCAGGCTGCGAAGTCTGACCTGGTCGTCGAGCGGCGCCGAGAGAGTGGAGGCAGGCGCGTTCGGGGCCGCCGCGCACCTCGAGCGGCTCGATCTAGGTGATAATCGACTGGCCGACCTGCCGTCGGGAGTCTTCCATCCGTTGCATCAACTCCAGTACCTGAACCTCACCGGGAACCGGCTGACCGCGCTGCCGCAGCAGCTGTTCCGCCATCTAAATCGCCTCCAGGAGGTCCGCCTGGCGGCGAATCTGCTCTCCGTACTCCCCTACCAGGCGTTCGCGCCCACCAGGGAGCTCGTGCGGCTCGATCTCAGTGGTAACCGGCTGGTCTCGCTGCCGGACCATAGCTTTCAGCCGAATCGGCAGCTGCTGGAGCTGCGACTGGCCGGCAACCGCCTGACGAAGCTGCCGTCCCGGCTCTTCTCCGGCTTGGCGCGGCTCAAGGTGCTCGATCTCGCCGACAACGAGATCGACGCGCTGCCACGTAGCCTCTTCAGCCACCTCACGGCCTTGGAGCACCTCGATCTCGGGGGCAATCCGATCGCGCGTCTCTCCGACACCGCGTTTCAAGGCCTCGCCAGTTTACGATGGCTCGATCTCAGCCGTTTGCCGATCTCGTCGCTGCCCGGTGACGTCTGGCGGCCTGTCAGCAGGCTGAGGACCCTCCTGCTATCCGGGACCAAACTGGAGAACCTTCGGAACAAGGATCTGGCCGATCTGGCCGAGCTGGAGACCCTGGAAGTAACCAACGGCACGCTGCGGGAGATCGGCCAGCTGACTCTCAACGAGACACCGTCCCTGCGTAGAATCGACCTGCGCAACAATGATTTGACCTTCCTGCCGGCGAACGTGGCGTATCTGCCGTTGCTGGACGAGCTGCAGCTGCAGGGTAACTCGTGGGCCTGCGACTGCCGTATGTTTTGGTTCGTCAAGTGGTCGGAGAGCAGGGCGCATCTGCGCGCGGCCTTCCAGAGCGGGCTCAAGTGCGGCCACGAGGGCGACGGCACCGTCGACATCCTGCGGACGTTGCGCTACCTCGAGTGCAGCCCGCCGAGGCTCGTGCGAGCTACCAAGACCCAGCAGTACCTCCTCCTGAAACCGGTGCTGCTGGAATGCGAGTTCAGCGGCAATCCCGCGCCCTCCCTCACCTGGGTGACCCCGAGCGGCCTGGTGCTACACTGGGTGCCGGACCCGGGCTTCCCCGACGCGTTCGTCGAGCATCCCAAGGTGCACAGCTGGCGGACGGACCGGCCGGTCGTCGACGACGGGCGCATTCGCGTCCTGGAGAACGGCTCCCTTTACATCGCGACGCTGATGCGGCAGGACGTGGGCAAGTACAAGTGCACGGCGGTCAACCCGATCGCCAACGAAACCGTCTACGTGACGCTGCACATGGACCCGATAACCTTGCACAACATCAAGATCTTTAGCATCGTCGTCGGCGCGCTTTGCACCTTGGCGTTTCTTCTACTGACGTTGGCGGTGCAGCTGCTGCGGTATATCTTGTTGAGGTGAGTATCCAGCAACGCGGAGAGTTAGTAATTGAGAATCAAGCGTAATTACGCTTGATTAAGTATTAAGAAGCCATGTGTACTCTCTTCTCGTATGCTATTTCTCGCGCGACTGCGTCAAACGCATACGCTCGTATTGTCGGCTAATAGAGCCGTTAACTGTCCGCGTGAACAGGCTCGTCGAGAGCTTCAACTTTGACGAGTAGAGCGAACGAGTCGGCGGAAGGTCAGGACGCGCGATCGATAACTCCACCTGACGATTCCGACCAACTTTCTATATTCCTTTCGCAACCCTCTCGTTAACGTTCTCCCCCACACGAATCTCCCGCAGGTGCGGATGCATCAAGTGGTGCCTGTGCTGCAGACACGTGGGCGTGACGCCGCGGGCTAAGCAGATCTACCAGATGCTCGACAACATCGAGCAGTACAAGAGCCAGCAACTCGAGAGACTGAGGGAGAACTACACGCAGCAGGTGCACAGAATTAAGGACAATTGCGTTCAGCAAGTGGAATGGATCCGCGACAGCTACGAGGGTCAAATGCAGCATATACGAGACATACGGGACTACGGTACCACCCACCTGACCGCGCTGAGAGATCAGTACTACGATCAGGTACGATACGCCGTGGGAATTCTCGCGTGGAACCGTGCTTCGTCGTAATTGGTTCAATTTCTTTTCTTATCGAATTCACTTTCCATCTGATCTACGTGATCCTCTTACAACGCGCGGCGAGCCTGTTACGTGCGAAGTAGTGAAACATTCATTAGACACATCGCCGTGCACGCCGTCGCTTTTCAACATTCGACGAAACGATTCTCCGTCGAGAGAAAGAAGTAGCGAGATAACGCGAAATATCGTCGCGTGTACAAATAGATACGCATCTAGCCGCGTCTATTTTGTTGCTCTTCCGCAGGTGAAAAGGGTGCGGGACTATTCCACCAGCCAGCTCAACTGGGTACGCGAGAACTACGTCTTCCAACGGAACAAGATCCGCAAGTTCAGCGCCCATCAGGTGTTGCGGTTGCGCGAGAGCTACAAATACCAGCAGCAGACGCTGGCCAAGGTGCTGGAGAACCTGCCGAATCTCTACTTCGACAATTGCCGGAGCGGCTCGTGCGGCAAGAGCGACTCCATGATGTTCGACCCTACCAAGGACGATCTCAACGGTATGGACACCTATTTCAAGGCGAAGATCGACGATCTGGTGGCGGGGGCGAGTCTGGAGGACGTCAACAGCGAGTATTACACGCCGACCGAGCTATCGTCGACCAGCCCGAACGCCCCGAACGCGTTAGAAGGTATTCACATCAATTATATCGAGGAAAGCTGTCCACCGCCGCCTCTTGGACCGCCTACAGTGTTGCCTGCTTCGGCGGTACTGCAATGTATCGACGAGTACGGCAGCACGTTGTCCGTGTACAACTACGAGAATGACAAGCCGATCTTCAGAGGCTCCAACGGTACAGTCTTGGCTAAGGAGCCTCGGAACGAGATTCCGGAAGTCCTGGGGCTCTTAGCACCTAGCAACAGTCTACCTGATCTTCCACGCGAGACTAAACTCTAGCCGGCAGAAATTAAGGCGCATTAAAGTGGCCAAGAATGGGTTCCTGCTATCATTTAAGTTATCAGAAACATACAAGAGGGAGGGAATTGTTCTGGGACAATCAACCGGGAGTGGAGAATCGTCGTCATCCTGCGTCCGATAAATTGGGAATCGCATCTTCGATATCGAGGAAACTGCTCGAAGCTTCTTCCGCTTGTGATTGAGGACTGATTTGAGGAGAGTGCCCTAGGAGATAGTTCGACAAGTACTCGTGTCAGTGCCAAGAAACGGGAGATCCTTCCTCTGTCGAGATCGATGACTGTCGATCGCAAAGAAAAGTGTGTGCGTGTGCTAAATCTAGGAGAACAAAAAAAAATTACGGACAGTTTCCAAGGGCTTTCCTTTACATGATCGACCTTGCAACCTGTCCGCCTCTTGTTAAGCAACCGTGTGCTTTTTCATCAGTGTCATCGTTTTTGGATGACTGTTATATCATCCGAGGGGATAGAGGAAAAGGCGCGAATTGCATTTCGCGTCTTCATCAACTCGGCTGTAAATTAATTTCCTCTTGCAAGCGCGACGAGAGAAGCAAAGTAACTTCGCCTAGTTGTCAATTCCATGAATCTTGAGATTGCGAGTTCCGCAAGGAAACATTCTCAATCCTTTCTGTAAATAGGCGTGCGTGAAAGTTTTATGTATCAGTGATATACCGCGAGAAAAAGTCGGATTACCCTCTCATTGCGAAAGACTCATGAGGCGGCGAGATCGACACGCCCGCAATCGTTCGTTTTAATTGATTTCGTCTTCTTCGTCTTGATTTTCTCACGAATAAAAAGCGACGAAAAATATTAGCGTTCGGTCGTGCTCGAATCCTTTCCCATCTTCTTCTTTTTTTAACCGCCTTTGTTTAGCGTAGTAGGTTACAAATCGTTCGAGACATAGAAGTATATACCTATCGAAGAGAGAAAAGAAGAGAACATACCAGAAAGTAACCAACGTACGTACTTAATTTTTTTTAATCATTACAGCGATGTAATATCTTCAACCGGTCGGGCTTATCATTCGCGCAAAAAAAAACAATGAAAGGGAGAGGAAATTATAATTAAGAAAAATTATATTGGCTGTTACATCTTTCGTGCTGAAACAGCGTTTCAGAGAAAGAAACTTCTATGTATGGATTTAGTTGCAACAAAGTTGCTCTTATACAAATTTTGCAAAATGCGCCCCTTTGTTGAATAAATCCTGACGAATCGTCGCCAAGTATCTACATCTTCATCCCCTATCCAAGTTCCATCTCGTAATAAGACTTTGTAGAAAAATATACTGAAAACTTAATTTGTTCTTAAAAAAAGCATGCTAAACAGAAAAATAAGAGCTATTAAACAACCCGCTAATTAGCTCATTGCTAATTAGCAAGTTGCTAACTGTAAAACATTTAATTAACACGAACTTTAATCATCGATAGGATATATGCAATATCATTTAGAGTTACACAGAGATGGGAGCGACGATTGAAGGAAAATAAGAATAGTTAATATAATTTATAATTCGATTTAAATTTTTCACTTGTGCAAAAGATCTAACAACAAATTTCAGCTCCAAATTCTGTAGCCAACTATCTACAGAACTGAAAGTTCAATGGTAAATTTTTAGAATATAAAATAATTTTAAAGTAAATAATATTAATATTAATTATATTTTTAGCGTAACAGAAGTTTTATTTCGAAAGTTAAAGCTCTGTCCTGAAGAGGATTAATATCAAACTAATTTTTGTATGTGGAATTAAATTTTTGTTACTTTATATTCTTCAAATCTAGATTTTATTATAATAGATTAAAATTCACAGGGCAATTACGGGAAAAAATAATTTCGTTCGTGAAAAGCGACTTTGCATACAAGTGATTAATCTCGAATTATTTCTTGAAAGTAATTTCGTAGAATTTTGTGATATATAAATTACATTGTAAACGATAATTATAGTTTACAATGTTACAGTTTGTTCTAAATGATGCATACAAATGCGTCTCGCGGTGAGGTATTTATTTTTCTAATAGACACGCGTAAATTTGCAAAGCAATTTATGATCGAAGGACGTAATATCTCGAGAGATCCCTAGGTTTAGATATTTATACGGACCTAGTCCGTTCTCGTTTGGAACTCGTAAATCGTCTCGATCGAATCGCCAAGAACGCAATACTTTCGCGTTGGAAAAATCACGCGATGAAAAGGCACGTGCGTACCGATTATCTAAATAACTGCTGCCGATCGTAGAAACAGCTGAGTCACCACGACAACGACACCAATGGAACGAAACGAAAATGACCGCGGCCAGAAGAGCGTTGTCGTTATTTTTCGATCGCGTCAGCGAGAGAGATAAAGTTTTATCGTGCTTCCTCCGTTAAACGGAGGGGGAAGCCACGCGCGGGATACGCGAGACGAAGCAGAACCACGACGGAAAGCGTGTAGTCAGTCCCGGTATCGTGGTGAGAACGTAAGGGGAATTCTACTCTATGTCGAGAGAAACCTGATCGGGCTAAGTACAGAGAAGTAGGAATCGATAGGTTGTCACAGGCTCGAAATTCGATGAAGCTGGAGTCGACGTTTTCTCAGTGAAAATTTGAAGCGCAATTATCAAGTCTCCAAGCTTATTTTTCAATTTAATTAATCGGCGAAGCCCATCATGGAGCAAATTAATGCATTATTTTCCACAAGTTATCCACGTCTCGCAGATCGGTAGACTCTATGAATCAATCAGAAAGCTTTTAAATAAATGTAAACATGTGTGGGTGATAAAAAATGATTCGTGTCATTATCAGAATTCGAACTCGCGTCATATAATTTTATATAGCAATATTTTCTTCAAGTAAACTGACCGCTTAAATCAGACGATTTTTAACATACATAATCGTTTGATTTTAAATCTAACGTGAATCAATTAAAAACATCAAAATTGATAACTCATCATCAAAACTATCAGTTTTGTGATTGTCGAGTTCTGCTTGCAAGTATATACGTTGTATAATTATAACACGAATCTGTAATCACCGCGGTGTTTCTCATAGCGTTCACAGCAAGGCAAACATATAAAATTGTTACGTGAACAGCTTCTGGCTTCTGACTGAAACACGTAAAAATGTGGACACGGTAAGAATATAAAGTTAAATCGTAAGAGCGTTCTAGATATACCAGAGTATCGGACTTCAGCATATCTTGCTAAATAAAAAATGTTTATTTCAGTCAGATATAGAACAATTTCCAATATATATCTATATCAGCTACAAAGTTAACAGAAATTGAATCCCATAGAGAGATCTTTATTTAAAAAATGAATTTTCACTTATATGATATTTTTTATATGTAAGTGCATTTATATGAAAAAATACTGTTGTTTAAATAAGAGAAACCTAATCGTTGCATAAATATTTAATTCATATAACCGTCGAGATAATTATTTCTGAATTTCAAAGCTTAATGGGAGACATTTATTCGAGCTTTTACTAAGAAAACATCTCCATATTCATCAAATTTTCCGACCGCTGACTCCCTATCTTTCACTCGAAATTTCGCTGCGCAATCGATCAACCTAATTGTACCCAGTCTCATAATTCTCGATATTCGCGTGCGCTAGTTCAAATCAAAGTTGTTTTCGCTCTAATTTACGTAGGATTGATTGGCAATACAAACAAGATTATACCATTTATGATTACAGACTCAATTCGCAATGTTATTACGAATTTAGACAAATTGATATTTGATGGCTCTGCATTTTTTACTTGTAACAAGCTCCATTTCGAAACCAAATTCATCAAAGGCAATAGTTGCGTGTGTACGTGTGTTTACACCAGTTTTGGTGGATCACGAATGATAAAATAGATCAGGCGGCGTACTAAGAATCTTAGAAGATATTATTTGTAATTCTCTAAAAGTGGCACAATTGTGCAAATAACAAATAATCTCTAACAACGCTGTTCCAAATAATTCTATCAAGGCTTTTGACAAAGCTGGGAGTCAATTTGCAATTACTCTCTATTTAAATTGCTCTAGTTCCTCCTCCCGATATTGCGGCGATAGTCTTATCGTTCGGACAGTTACCGAACTATCAAATTCTATCTAATTAGGTCGATGAAAAGGACGACAGAAACGAACTTTTGATGTAAACTTTCGAGAAGAGCAAATAAGAGCCGAACTATAGGCATACAAGTATACAAGCCCATGTCGATATAATTGACTTCTCAATGCTTGTCGAAGTGAATCGATCTTGACGGTGAACTGAAGTAAAACATAGTATTAGAGAAATATTCCAGTAACAGCATCCATGATAATTCCAATGAAAAATGGAAGCAATTCCATTTGTATTAACACGTTTATATTTATCTGCGGTTTGACTTTTATCGGCTCTTCTATTTCGGAGCAATTTGCTAATTGTGTTTGATGTCAACGAAGGAACCACTAACGCGCGCAAATGCTGTCATCATCGAAAGTATTTGGAATTAATGTTCAATTAATAATCGTCAGTTTGATATAAATTCCATGATTATTAAAGGTCAGTGTTTAATCTTTTCTTATGGCTAAAACGCTCGACTGTGGATAAACCAATGTTGTTTCGTGGTCCCTTCATGTTACGTCATTCTCCTATTTAAGATTATTATATAAACACTTGGAAGAATGTAAGAGGAAGTAAACTGGTGCGTTCACCTGGCGTACGTCTAACGTTAATTAAACGAGTATTATTGCGCCCGAACGTTTCTGGGAGCGACAAAATGAGGGAGATCTGAAATCTACTACGCTTAGAGAATAGTTTAAAGTTTAACTAGCTATTTCTCGTCATGGCACATCGAATCTTAGACGAGAAAGTCTTTTCTCTGTTCCTTCCTATGTCGAATGCTCGTACTTATGCTTCCAGCATGTATATTTTTTATACGATGTCATTTTTAAACCGCGAAGCCTTACCAGAGGGGTAACGCACGTGCAGCGCGTGCAAGTTAAAATTAATGATGCAAAAAAAAACCCGCGCTATCAATGACACTGATACAGGCGCGCGAAAACTGAAGTGTGAATCACGCGTAGTTGCTTTCCAGAAATGATTTCTCGCGTTCCAGTATGTTACATCGACAGCGGCATAATTATTGTTAAATGCGAGCGGTGCGCTCCATAGTTCTCAAAAACAATTAAGAGTACGTTGCTTTAATGACATTAAAATATGAATATCTTTTTCGCTGAACATTTCATAAACGTTTCCACATAAAACGCATAATTTTTGGCATTATTTTCTCTGACGGATAACGAGGAGGCTTTGTCGTCATTTTTCTCAAGGACCGCAAAACGTGCATTAAAAATTAATTATGCCATTGTAAATCGAGTATTTTGTCGTAAAACTAGATAATAGATAACAGAATTTACTCCATCTGACTTCGCGAATGACATTCTCTGTCACCGGGATTAAATATTAGAAAAAAAAATTTTGTAGCGAAAATTTATGTGTTATAGAATTATATGTACTGTATATAGGAATGTGTTTATCTTTAGTGACGTGACAGTGAGAGGAAATGTATTTTCTTGATATGCAAGACATGTCCTGAGTCTATCGACCGCTCGTTCGGGACATCCTTGCGTAATTTCGATACTATATCTAACGAGTCTTTTAAATGCTGTGATTTGTGAACTTTCGAAGAGAATATATCGCGACGTAAATTATCGATGTAGAATGGAGCTTGCAATAATGTTATCCAGTATGTTTATTGAATGTACAATAATAAATTGCACAACGTCGCGCAGAACAGAGACGTTTCTTCGGAGCGACTGCGAAAGTAATAATCACTCCGAATACGCAACTATACTAATTTGTATGAATTTTCATTATCTGCAAAAGCTTTACTGAAAATAAATTATGTAATAATCAAAGTAAAAACTTATAGCGCGTGTTCCACGAAGTGATGTTTGCCAGTCACTTGAATTTGTTAAAAATATCGACATTGTATGATGTACCACAAATTACTTGTGTTACAGTTCAATATTTGGAAACCGGGAACCAAAGCAGAGAAAGGCCGACGCGCAAATTCTTTCTTTCACTGAAGCGCAGTTTTCGTGTTACCGGGGCTGTCATTGATTTTGACGATCGTTAAAAAGACCAAGCAATCCTCACGGTTATCTCCGCAGGAGTACCGTTCAAAGTCTCTCACATGTAACTTGCCGAGAAGATCTAAAACCTTCTAAAATTTAACGCCTAAAAGTATCTTGTCGAGCTTCCCATCGGCAGTCTCCAATTATTTACTCCGAGATAAACGGATGCATTGAAAGAAAAAACTACCGACGAATAACTACGGCGGCATAAACTGTCATTTCCTACGTCGTAAACTTATGGGTTGCAGAACAAGCAACGCGCGGGGAGAAACGATCTAGATCTGCTGTTCGAACATTATTCATGTTGGAAAATTAAGAGAGACCGAGCGGTTTAATCGCTTTAATGTTCCGACTGAGCGATATAAAAAGCCATTTGTAATGAAGCGAATTATTCGCTTTTGCGGAAGTAATCCCGAGATTATTTCTACCGACCGAAATAACGACGTCGGCGAATCTGCTCAACTTCTATTCATAGTTTTCGAAGTTAATAAATCTCATTGTTTATTGCGGTACTCTTGATTTCCTTCAACAACCCTCTTTCGTAACATAACGATGTATGTAATGATCTATCGATACTTGATATGTCACATTTGAAGACAAAATTGTCAAGGCAAGCATAATTAATTATAATAAAGTATAAATCCATAATCAGTAAAAGATCATGTACACGTTATCGAACACGTATTAATCTAAACCGTTGCATTAATTTCTTTTTAAATCGTAAATAAATATATTCCTTCAAAATTTTCATTGTTCGTTCAATAATAAACGCTTTGAATTATAATATACCGCATCGACAGAAATCATTAGCGCGTGATCTTTTAGGGGGGAAAAAAAGAAAAGAAATCGGTACATACCTTTTCTGGCGTCCGATTCCACACGATCACACTATGACCACTGTTGATCAAGTTTTTCACGATTCCGCTACCCATAATGCCGAGTCCAAGAAAACCAAATTTCAGAGTCGATGGAAGGATATTCTTTTCCTTGAGAGTTTGAGACATCGTTTCGACGTCTAAGGGTGGAGTAATCTGCGAAACAAGGTAAAGGAATGTCATGGGAAAGGAATAATACGCAGTTAATCTTAATACTTTTTTTATCAAAGAGAAATAATTTTGCGAGTTCTGCGTCATCCTTAAAAAGTATCTTTTCTCGATGACAAATGTTACTTCTATAATAGACGATTTAATTACTCTAAATCTTCAAATTGTCGATAGATAGTTCGATAGATAAGTCGGTAGATAAGTTCAGTAAATAAATGAAATTAAGAAAATTGTAATGATTGCAGTGCAATTTATCAGGGATAGAAAATTAACTTAATTTCTGCATTTTCTAACAAATTAATTTAATTAAAAAATTAATCTAATTAATTTCTAGTAAAAAAGAAATAAAATCTGATTTGCAGTTAGTTGCTATTTCAAAGTCATTTTTATAGAATTTTCATTACTTTTTAAGTCAGAATATTTGCACTAAAAATAAAAAATTATTAAAAACTTTTTCAAAGAAGTTCGATGAAAGAATTATACGTTCTAAAAAAATGTGCAGGTGCGAAAAGATGTAAGATGTCTTTTTAGGATATTTTATAAAAGATGTTACAAAATTGACTTTAAAGTATCAATTATTAAAATATCCACTATTAAAATGTAAATGTTTAAAAAAAACTTTTTTAAACAAAATTCTATGCATAACATTTATCATATTTCTATTTTTACAATATAATTAGATAAATAGAAGCGTGTTTAATAAATATAATAAAAAATTAATAAATAATACCTTAATAATATAACAAAAATAAATAATACCTTAATAATATAACAAAAATAAATAATAGCAAGAGTCTCTCAAGCTAGAAATATCTTAGCGATTGATTTGTTTTTACTATCGCTGAATTTACATGAACTTGCTAACTTATTCTAAACCGGGTGGTGGGAGAAAACAACCGAAAATAAAGAAACGCTTCGCTCATCGGTTACATAGCTCTAGTGTCTCGCTACGATAAATTCTCGGCAGTTCTACCAACATAGAACGCGCGCTATATGAACTTCTGTACACTTAGAAAAAGCATTAAAAGGAATTTAGATGGATCCTTGAAAGCATTGAAAAAAAAAACTGGACGAATCCTTGAAAGTATCAGAGGGTATTAAGAGGAATTAGATGGATCCTTGAGTGTTCGAGGTTGGCAAATTGCGCCTATGGATAAACTCCATCTTAAGCATATAGTTAAATATAATTCCGATAGTGTTTATTTAAATGCAAAATAAAATATTAATTCTTCAGACTTTGCAAAACATTTTTGCAATAACACTGCGCGACAAGTATGAACTTTCTTTAAAGGGTTGGGAAATTTCTAAAACAAATAGAAAGTTTTCGTGTTCCAGAACACATTCCTAACAGGTTCTTTTTGCTAGGTTAGCGCATTTAAGCTTTTTTTTCATTGAGTAATAAGATGCATTAATTCGCTGAGTTGTATAGTAGTAACCCGACTATGAGGTATTAAATGTTGAGCGTCTTTTTCACGCGTGATGCTCATTTTTAGCATCAAAATAGATCGCGTGCTTAAAACTGCCTACTACCCAATGTCGATTTTAATCACGTGATCTATTATGGCGCTAAAAATGAACGTCGAGCGGGGTAGTGAAAAGGCAACTTTAAAATTGGCTATAGGAACTTATTGCTGAAGTTATTTTGAGAGACAATTAATGTGTCGGAATTGGACGAGCGCGGTGCACGCTTTCGTCAAGTTGACATGCCTATGGAAATAAGGTATAAAGGGAAGAAATTAGATACTCCGCTGGGGGACGTTTGGCTGAAAAATATGAACGCCGACAGCAATACAAATAACGATAGCGACAACGATGCAAACGTCGATATTGACGGCAACGGAAGCAGTGGTAGTGACAGCAGTGGTAGTGACAGCAGTGGCAGCGACAGCTGACAACGACGCTGGACGAAAAAAAATTTCCTAATCCTAAAAAAAGGCTCCCTTATCCTAAAAAAACCGAGTGTAAAATTTCGGGGCCTATTTTAATTATTTTTAATTATATAAATTTTCTGGTCTTTACCTAACGAAAAGAGGCTTAAACGCGCTAAGCTGGCAAAAACCCCGTTAGGAACGTGTTCTAGAGCACAAGAGCTTTTCATGTCTTTTGACAATTTTTCCATCCCTTTTTGGCATGTCGCACAGTGTAATGCTTTAAATATTAATACTAAAGTTATGAAACCAACAGGTGGTAACGGGATCGCCTTGCGCCTAACTACGGTACTGGGATGCACCGTCCTCGTATACGCGTGGCTGTGCGGGTGTGTAGACATTTCGCGTGCATATATATCGGGTTGATTCTTCATTTTATTCTTAAAGGTCTTTAGGAATATGAAATGAATGTAATTTAGCCCTGTATTCTATAAGACTTTCGTTCTATGAATTCTGTAGCTCCGTTAATTCTTTCTTCCTCTCGCTCTTTCTCTCTTGCTCCACAGTACTACACAGCGCATAGAGATACAACGTTACAGAGCATTTTTACAGAATATACCCCTTAAGTTCAAAGGACTACATTTTAGCGCTGAATGCGCGATAAAGCGTTCTAATATTCAAGAATAAACTCAATATTTGTTTATATCGAAATATTGTGCATATAGAGACTCGTATTCATAGCCCGTACTTACTTCAAAAATGTCTTAAGTAACGTCTTAAGATACTATTGAGCCTATGATTCGTTTGTGACAATTCAACATTATACTTAAGACAGTCTTACATGTAACAACGGATCAGGTGTGGTGACACGTGGTATAAGCAATCGATTCGTAGTCGATTTAATCCCGGGTTCAATTCCCGATCTTCACCTCCTATTTTAATTTTATGAGAGGTTGAAAAATTAAGGGTTTGTAGGGGGTTGCAAGGGGAAGATGATTGGCACGATAACCCGTTTTGAGAACTCGTATTTCAATATTGAAATCAGGTTTATATGTCGCCTAACACTGGCATTATTAAATTCTATTTATTGTCTATCGGCTGGACTTCAATGATATTAATAACCAGGGCAGGATAAATAAATCTTTTAGATTAGTAATAAAGATATATAACAAATATTGATTACTTACAGGTCTGGTGATATTTGCCGGTCTGTTTAGAAGCGAGTCCGTTTTTCTAGCCGGGGTAGAGTGATTCATAGTAGGACTGACATTGTCGACTCTGTTGCTATTGCTGGTACTTGATTCCCTACGCTGTTTTTTAGCTGGTCGACGATCACCCGTACCACTGTCGCTCAGACGCTTCGGGGTTCTCGTAGTAGTCTCCTGTAGCAACAGTTTCTCAGTTTGCATATATATATATATATGTATATATATAAAACGCAATTGAAGAAAGAAAAGACATATTTTAACAGTCGCTGCTGCTGAGAAACGGAAGATAGATTCGCTGCTGACCTTGCGCTGTTTCGGCGTTTTGACGACGGCCTTCTTCTCAGTTACGGTGTCTTCCTTAAGTCTATCGAACAAGGAATCCGGATCCAAGCCATCCTCGAACACCTGATGTATCAATACAGGAGATTCAATCATTTTCAGTGTAACCAATATCACTTTCAGTGATGAGTATTTTATTTTTTATTTTACATTTTCATTTTACATTTCTAGCTTTCATTCTTAGCTCAGTCCTACATAGATACAAGATATTGTTAATTTAATATTCAGTTAAATTCGTAATGTATAGTCATTAGAATATTGTTTTAATACAACTACTTGCCATTAATATTAAATTATCTCAATTATCTACAGATAACTATCAAAGATACGTAAGTCTCGCTCACCTCTCCTTTGGCGATAAATTCTTCTATCGCTTCCACCGCATCTTTGAACGCGCCAGATTTGCTAGATTTCACTAAAGTATCCTTATACTCCTGGTACGGCTTGATGTGGGATTCCTCTATCCATGCGCTACGAAGGGAGGAGATCGTCAAGGATTACAAATCATAGCAGCGTTCTCCATGAATAAGATAAACGATATCCGTAAACAGAACTTACTAATTGTTTGTCCCAAAGAAGAAGATGCACTGTACTGGTCCCTTTTTAGTGTTCGCGGGCTTCTTCAAGTCCTTTGAAGGAACTGACACCTTTGCATGCCATTATGATATTAATATTAATGCCCATTATACAAAACTAATAGAATAATGTAACAATCGCTCTCTCATCGTGAATTCCAATTCAATTTACAATTTGTTTTGGGAAACGTCACAATAACATCGGAATATGAAATAGACACGTTTACTAGACGATTAATATTAACAGGGTGCTTTACATACGGCACAATTGTTTCATCTAGCCGTCAGTTGGAAACCTTTAGTGCTTGTCCGCGCGTTTTTACAATTTTTCAAAGAGACAAAAGTAAATTTCGCTCAAGCAATTTCTCGCGCGTACGCGCTTCGCTCTTAACATTAAGACGAGATTTCTCGAATCGCAGCGTCTCCCGCGTCCGGTCCTCACGTTCGTAAATCGCCTCCCCCCCGATCTTCGTACGCCCCTGCCGCGCGCCGGCGGTTGCCGCGTAAACGCACTTGAAAGAACTTGCGAGCCATCCACATTTCCTACACTCCATTATTCCTCCCCTCCCTTCTTCTCGCGCGAGATACGAGTCCCAGGGCGTTCGTTTAATTCGATCCCGTGTACAAAGTAGTTTTAAACCCGGCCAGTCCGAAGACCTACGGACCGCGCGGCGCCGGCCGCACAGTTTTTCGGTCGCGAACACGCCGGGCCTGTACTTGCTTCAAACGCGGAAAGCGGCATCGGCGGCATCGGGGGACGAGGCGCAGATCGCGGGCCCGCTCGCTCCGGCTCATACGGTTGACGTCACGCGCGGCTTCCGCCAATCGGAAACGGGGAGACGGATTACGCGGGACAAATTGTAAAGTCTCGACGAGTCAGCAGGTCGCGCTCGATCCCCCCCCCCTCGCGCCCTCCCGCCCCCGCCCCACGCCATAGAAATTTCGAAACCGCTGCGAGCCGGGGAACGGGAGGGACGCGGCGGGGGGAACGCGGCTCCGCGGAGAGACTCGCGCGGTCGCACGCGGGATTTAGGTTATAAGCCCCGCGGTTTGCGCGCCAATTTGAATTCGAAGGTCGGGTGTGGCGGGAGATAGCGCCGCGCCGCCGACGTTGCGGCGCGGTGGCAGGACGCGACGCGGCCGCGGGCCCCAGTGGCGTCGACAGCTGGTGCGCTCCGTCCCGGCGGCGAGCGTCGACGAGGCGTAACGACGCGAGGACCGCCAAACGCGAGGCGAGGGCAGGTAGACGGGCGCGCGCGCGCGCACAAGCGGCGTTAACGGGAAGAGGTTCGCGAGCCCGCGTTACGACAGGCTCGGTGACAGCGGAGGGGGGAGGGTACCTACTTACCCGGCCGGGCCACGGCGAGAATCCCTTCATCTTCGCCCTGAAAGCCAGAAAAAAAAACAGAGAAACGGGGAGAGATTAGACAGTGCCGGACACGCCAGACTACACAGATCGCGTTACCGCGGTCGCACTTTTCAATACGCACCATACCAGATCACCCAGTTTGAATACTTCCGACATCGCGAGGAAAGGACGCAAAGCCAACCAGCTACAGCGAACGTCAGCGAGCGACTGACTTGCGTTGCGCCGTAGCGTCGTTTGTGCACGGCGACGTGTGCGCAGTTGCTCCCTCTACGCGCCGTTCCCTTTTTCGAGCGTCCCCCCCCTGCCCGCCGCACGACGCCGGACGCTGGTCGAGTGAGCGACCGTGTCGCGGGTGGACGATGCTTCAGCGCGCGGCGCGTCCAAGTAAAAACGCACGGGGCGCGACCGATTAACGACGAACTGCGCCGCTGCTCGAGAGAATGACGACGAACGGCTTCGACGCCGCCGACCTCGGCGCTTCCGATGCGCGCGCCACTTCCGGCGACTAGGCTCCCGTCCTAAGGCGACGACTCGCAACGCGCGATCGTGCACGACCAATCGGCGCTTGGCGCCCCGTGTCCGTGTCGCGATTCGAATTTGCGGGGACGTTTCTTCTTAAAAAATTTATTTTCTCACTGGACCATCGGCTACGTCCCGACATCCGACGTATTGTATAACAGTACGGGAATTCTGGCAGAATTATTCTGTAACTTGCAATCGATGATTTTTGGTATCGTTAAAGGCCTTCACACATAAAATTCCGTAAGGACGTAAAACGTAAGCGTAAGAAAATCAACAGATTGCATTTGCTACTGCTTGCGTTATTGCCTTACGTTCTCGACTGTGATTGGTTGACTTTGGGCCGTGGCACACAAACGGCCTTAAGCAATAAGACGTAAGCAGTAAACGAATTGACCAATCATAGTCGAGAATATATAATATGGCTGCCATAATTCTCGACTATGATTGGTCAATTCGTTTACTGCTTACGTCTTATTGCTTAAGGCCGTTTGTGTGCCACGGCCCTTTCTTATGCTTACGTTTTACGTCCTTACGGAATTTTATGTGTGAAGGCCTTAACTAGCGACAGCCAATGGCGAGGACGATCTTCGAGAAAGGCGCAGATTTTCATTGATTGTTCCCAGTTAACGTTATCGAAAAACCTCGACAGCAAGTTACAGAATTCCCGTACAGGCCTAATATTACATTTGCGTACGACACATTTTTCAAGTGTGTTGATTGACTGCGGGATAGTGAGATTCTCAAGTGTCTAGAAAGTTTTCTATTCATCAGCCAATCAACACGCTTGATACATTTGTCGTGCGACATATGTAATATTAAGCTTAGGGCCAGTTTCACAAACATCGGTTAACTGCTAACCGAAGATTAATCGATTTCTCTGTCTCTTCTTATAGCGTTTTCGATTTGCTGACTCGACCCGACTCCGAGTCAGAAAATCGAAAACGCTATTAGATAATAACACAGAGAAAGATAGTAAGTGGACTAATCACCGAGGGGGAAATTGCTCCCTCCAGTTAATTCTTTCCACGATGCTTTTTGCTCCGTGTCGCCGGTGCGATCGGAAGTTCCGATTCGGAACTCGCGGGAGCCTGCGGTCCGTCGCGCGAGAATGATAGACGTCGCTCTAGACGGATCGCCAGCCGTCACGTCGGTTACGACTTACTTACCAGCTGTCAGGCATCGATTGCGAACGCTTTTCACTGTTGTCTCCGACTCGAGCAAGGGTGTCTCGCGTCCCGCAAGCGCGCACCGTCCCCCGGGGAGAGTTTTCGCGACACCGTCCCACGGCCGCGCCGCGCAAATCTGGCCGGAAATGGACAGTAACACCCGTCACAACACGGTACGTCCACCCATGACGAGCGGCCAATGGTTCCGCGTTCACCTTTCGCCCCTCGGTGTGACACTCCTTTTTCCCTTCGCAAAATGTATACGTCGCGGTCGCGACGTTGACGCGGCTCGCGCGGTTCTCTGCAATTTCTTCGTGCGACCGTAGTCTGTTTCGTCTCGGGCGGCTCCTGTCCGCGGCTCGTCGTCCCGTCTCAGCCGTCTCGCACGCGAGAAAACAACCGTCATTGTTGTCTGCAATCCGGCCGGGAAAGATGTGCACTCCGCTCCCGAGGAACTACGTCGGTCGCCCTTGCCGGTGGCGGGAGTGACATTTCGTGGATCTCGTGTATTTATTGAAATCTGTTTTCCACAGCTGCCTCAAACGGGTGCTGATACCGGCGGCGAGACGTCGAATCAGAATGAAGTTCCTACGGTTACTGTAGCGATGCCGTTTATGCAGGTCGACATGCTCGGTCATTCCGGAACGTCCACTGCTGCTGCACAGGCTCTGACAAACCGAATGGTAATATTACGTAGATACAACGTTATATAAAATAGATACGGTGTTGCGGTTTAGGTAGCTTGACTCGATAAAATGTATTTAGGTTGACGGGGAAGATATTCCACCTCCGAAACCAGACTTCTCCGCGCCACCCCCTTACGAAGTAGCCACCAAATTACCCAGTTATGAAGAGGTTCAGCGTGAGAAGACTCTGCAGGGCGAGCCACAGCCTCAGATACACATGGTATGTGACATATCTGTAAATCGAAACGTATTTCTTGAGGAGTACCTTCGGAATATCTCTAAATCTTTCCCTTGCAGCCAGGAAATATGAGACCGCCACAGCAGCCTCTTACAATATTGGCTATAGACACCGAGGCTGCGGAAGGAGATCCAGAGAGCGGGCTGCTCGGCACAGATTTTATGTTCTTCACGGCGTTTCTTGGTGGGGTGCCTTCAGACAAAATCTAATATCCTTACCGGCGGCAGTGACGCGCATTAACGTATCTCTCTTACAGTCGCATTCCTATTCAACTGGATCGGATTTTTGTTACTGATGTGTTTCTGTCACACTATTGCCTCTCGTTACGGCGCGTTAGCCGGCTTCGGATTGTCTCTAACAAAGTGGACGCTTATTGTTAAACACTCCACCGATCTTGCTTCGCGAGAGAACTCATGGCTGTGGTGGTTGATAATGGCATTCGGTTTGTATAAAGTTGCTTTAAGAAACCTGAGCCAAAGGTATCCTACAAAAGGGTTAATTGTAAAAACGTTTATATTTTCAGGAGTTCTAATTTGCGTACGTGCCATCATTCAATATTTAAACATCAAACGTGGTTGGAGATTACTGTCCGGGAGCGCACAGGAGCGTCTACTTTTTTTCTATTAAAAAAATCCATTGAATCTGCACCTTTTTTTCTTTATACAACTTGGCTTTAGAGCAAACAGCATTTCTATGTGGGGTCGTATTTGTATAATATATAATCAACTTTCTTAAGGAAGAGCATCATGTAGATCGTAATATATATCGTATCTATATAGAACCAAAACAAGAATGTTTTTAATGATTTGCCAAATTTTCTGTGTGAAACTGATACAGCGCAAATGAAAAGAACATTAAAGGGAACATTAATTGGTTCGTTATTTGCGTACACACACACTCACACACATATGGAAGGCATATGCTATTTTATGTGATGTTATATATGATAGGCTATGGGGAAAAAGAAATGTACATTTTTATTGCTCAAAATAATATGAACAATGCTTTAAGTCAATGATCTTATTCTTTTTAAGTGTTGTTCGTTTGAATGCAGATTGCTGAAGAATGTAATCGCGTGGAGCACATGTCAAATTGCAACTTGTGCAAAATTGACGAGTCAAAATGAATCGCATGAAGAGACAAAATATATAATTCGTTATTATTTCCGAATAAATGATAAACAAAAGTTTTCTGATACTATATAATACATTTTAGCTTTAGAAAAGCTTCTAGAAACTGACTACTTACGAAGTATGATAAGTGTATTAATATCTTGCTTGTTTATATAGTATTATAATTTATATAAATATATATATATATACATATAGAGAATTCTATCGACAAAGAATTCTTAGATATAAATAAAAAGTAATATTACATATATGTATTAAAATTTATTATATAAAGCAATATGCGATTACATGTTATTCTGTGAGAAATTTCATTGTTATATTCATTACAACGATAAAACGAAAAGCTAGACATTCAGAATTTTATATCTCCCTTCTTAACTTCCATAAAATGCAATTTTTGAAACTTTGGAAAATTATTAGAATTTTTCACCTCCTTGCCGATTATATTCTCTTTTGTATTTTGTCAATTTTTTAAACTTGCTTTTCACGATTAAAAATTTTGAATTCTTATAATTTTAAATAGTGTGAAGTCCACTGATTATATTCTCTAGGTCAATTTTCAAGACGTTCGATTTTCCCCGATTTAAAATCTCAAATTCTTCCAATTTTAGATAGTGCGACCACTTCGGATCGCCAATTGTATTGTGATACTCTGTCAATATCTGAAAAATTTCATTATTATAAAAATAAGTTGCTAACAGGCAATGAGAGTAACATCATTAACTTACTTTTATTCGAGAGTCATATTCATGTGTTTTTTATTTTTACTTATTACTTTGAAATTTCTTAATGCATGTGAAAGTGTAATGGGATATGTTTAGTTACAAGACAAGCGTTTTTGTAGCTAATACACATTTTGTTATACTTAAAAAATTTGTATATGTATATTACTAATAACATATATGTGCATGTTACTTATATAAAAATTTTTTTAAAGCAATAAATTTTCGACTTACATGTTAAACATATGCAGATACTTTTAACCAATAACTCTGCCATTTTATTTCATAAAGTCTTATCTTTACGTCTTGGCTAATTGAGGTTCGTGTCTGTACTTCGTGGGGTTCGAGTCTTTGCTAAATAGGACTTAAAATTCTGTTCAGCAGGGGTGGTTTTGCTAAGTTGGTATATGTACTGTCCAATAACGTGATACACGAAAGGTCCCATGGTGTAATGGTTAGCACTCTGGACTCTGAATCCAGCGATCCGAGTTCAAATCTCGGTGGGACCTATAATTTTTGAAAACGCAGATATATATCTTTTTTTAAATTAATATTCAAATTGTTGTATATGTGCGATATTGTGGCACGTGTGCGACTTTAATTGTTCGCTAAGAAAATGTTAAAAATTGTACATGTTGAACCAGATGGGTTTTCCTTCTGCATTTTATTTGAGAACGATGGAAAACTGTAGCAAACTAATTTATTGGGACTTAATATTTTTGACAACGGCCTTCACAATAGTCAGTCTAACGAAAATCACGAGGGGACACGTTCGAGTCGCAGGCTCATGCTCCGAAACGTTGTGTATACTATACTTGGATGTTTAGGACATCAGTCGATTTGAAATTCTTGTGGGGACAAAGGACTCCCGAACTCAGGTCAAGAAGCACTGCCGTTCTTAGATAGTATTCTTCACGCCGCCTTGAATCTACTCATTCGACTCCACCGCTCCAGTTCTACTCCTGCGTGGTAAACAAGGTAAATAAATTAAACGCGTCGATAGTTTTCCGCGCGAGAATTTTGATTGTGTCGAAAAAAATCTTTATTTTCAAGCTCGGAGACAAACTAGCCGTGCACACAGACGATTCAGAATCATTAGTCTGTCGTTAGATACGCGAAATAGAAGTAGCGTGAGTCACCCTGTATAATGCGGCGTCTCTACAGTGTCCGAACGTTCTATTCTAATCCGTCGCGTGCCACCGTCGCGGTTCCCGGAGTCACAGGTCGCGTCTCCGTATCGAGATGCGTGTACATACATGTGATTATTTAAAATGATCAACTTATTGTTCGAGGAGAGGCGTGTACGGAGCAGCCGTGGTGACCCGAGGCGAGTAAGAAAAGACTCGTGGAGTCGGCTGACATTTGCATCCACGCGGGACGCGAGTTTTCGTCGCAACGGTGATCGCAGCGAGAGGGAGGAAATAGGAAACGGCGCTCGGTGAAGATGACTTGTGACGCTCGTCTGCTCAGTAACGAGCTTAATCCCGTGGTGTTTCTCGACATCGCGGTCGGCCCCGAGAAAGGTATCCTCGCGCGAGGTTATGCCTCAGTTCCACCCGGCGCGAACGGCGGCTCACGTTTCTGTTTATTTTCTAGTGGGAAGAGTCATCATAGAGCTGTTCAACGACCACGTGCCGCGAACCGCGGAGAACTTCCGCGCGCTGTGCACCGGCGAGAAGGGCGAAGGAACGAGGGCGGCAAAGCTACATTACAAGGGCAGCTTCTTCCACAATGGTGCGTGCTTCCGGAATCCCGAGTGTCCGGCTCTCCGCCGCTCGATGTAACTGCGTCCCAGCTCTATTGACGCTCTATCACGACAACAGCGCACTTTTCCACAGATCTTGCATTAAATATAGATCAATTGTTTATTTTCTTGAAACCGAATGGAATTGGAATTCCTCTATATAAGGACGAGTAGAATTGGAGTTCAATTTATTGAGATAGTCGCTTGTCGTGTACAATTCTGTATCGCTGCTGTCAATATCGTTGAAACTCTAGCTTGTCTATTAATTTTTTTAAGTCTGGATAAAGTTGTATTTCTTTTAAGGCTGAGCAGAATTAAATTTTAGCTTATTACGACAACTGCCTGAAAAATTTAATTAACGTATATTATTTTGTATACATATGTAATATTGTATTGCCACACAGCCATTTCGCAGCTCATGGTCCTGGGTGGTGACATTGTCAAATTCGACGGCAGTGCTGGAGAGAGTATTTACGGCCCTCACTTCGAGGACGAGAACTTTTTATTGAAACACGACTCCCCTGGAATACTCAGCATGGAGAAGCCCGAGGCAAAGCCGAATACCAACAGTTCCCAATTTATTATCACCACTAAACCGGCGAAGCATTTAGATTGCATCAACGTAGTATTTGGAAAGGTCATAAAAGGCTTGGGCGTGGTGAAAGAGATCAGTAAAGAGCCGGAAATTTTGGTTCAAGTAAAGCTACTTCCTAAATCACTAAAGACAACAGCTTTCTGGATCTATAATATTTGTCTCGCGATTGGTTTGTTTAGAAAATATGTATAATTGATTGTGGAGAATTGAAAAAGGGCGAGAGTTGGGGACTGGAGGAGGAGGACGGGACTAAGGACATTTATACGCCGTGGCCAGAAGATCTGGATTATTATTGCTACTTCGACAAGCTTACTGTAAATTGTCATTCATATATTATTCCTGAAAATTGTTATTTACGTGTTGACGTGCGAAATTATACCTTAATTTCAATCCGTTTGTTTTTTAGCACGCGAACCTGGAGACAGTAATAGAACATATAAAAGAATCAGGAAACCATTATTTCAGACAGAAGAACTTTGCGGACGCCGGTAGAAAGTATAAGAAAGCATTGCGATATTATTCCTGGATGCGCAAACAAGATATGCTAGATACATTTTATACCTCCCTGACGAATCTTAAGTTAGTTTTATTACTTAATTTATCTGCTGTGCATTTAGAGCAGAATCAGAATTCTAGCGCCCTAAAGCTCTGTAATGACGTAAGTAAATGTATCCTGTAGAAAGAAAATTAGAAGTATTGGCATTATATCTCAGCATGCTACTTATTTCAGGTTCTGCTAATGGATGAGCTAAATATTAAAGCGCTATATCGAAGAGGACAAGCTTTTTTGTCTATGAGGAAATACAAATTAGCATTACAAGATTTCTCCGAGCTGCTCGAGATGAGTCCTAGTAAGGAAGTCCTAATGGAAATGAGAAAAGTAAAAAAGATGAAAATTTTTTATTTAAAATCAGAAACTATTCCATTAAACATATGAATATGCTTTTCACTTGGGATTTTAATGTAAACTTTGTACATTTTTATTTTTTAGATAGTAAGACTCGCCCTCCCCTTGTCTGTGATGGATGTAGATTAAACAATTAATTTACCATTTTGTAGACTTTCGAAAATTACTAGAAGATTGATCAGAAAATGTGTGCCTCGTTCTTCTCGTTAATACAGGAATTATATGAAAAAGAAACAAGTGTTTTTTAACGAATTACTTTACCTTTTACTTTTAAGTAAAGCAATGACTAATTTCAGTAAATCAATATTCAGTGTGTCATATAATAGTGTATAACGTGTCATAGTACTCGTTATTAATGACTTTACGAAGATTTTAATTATATCAGAATTTAGGATGTATCATTTTAAATATACTTTTATCGTAAGCGCAATAAAATGACCACAATAAAAATCGTAAATGTTTAATATTCAAGCAATGTGTATGTTGCGTATATATTTTTTCAATACTTAGATAAATTAAAATGCAAATGTAAATAACATTAACGCACAATCGTAAGAAAGAATATGCTATTTTGTCTATAATTCATAAATTAGGGAATGTGAAATAAATACAATATTACAATTACGTTTCCATATTATTATTTCACGAATAAATCTATCCATCCCGTTATCATTAAGAAATTATTTTGGTCATATATATATGTATGTATGTATGTATATATTTCGAACAATCACAAAAATATAAATTTAAGCTAAGCACATTCTTCTATCGTATCATATATTCATAAAAACAAATTTTTTTAACATATATTCTAAGAATATTAATTTTAGATACTCGAAAATTTAGAGAACTTTGTCATTAATAAAAATTTGAATACAGAAACATATAAAACACTATTAAAAAATCTGTACCTAAAAACCAAACTTATTATAGTTTGCATAATTTTTACAATTTGTATTAAATTATATTCTTTTAATGTCAAATACTAAATTTTTGATACCGTCAAAGTGATCGAAATATATTTTAGCGAAAGATAGCACGAGCTAAATCCGACTCAAGATTTTTCTTCGGAAAATTACCTGGATAAATAAGATAGAAATTGAATGCGAATTCGTATTTCAATATAAATTTCTCAATATTACAACATAAAAGATAAGACAACTTATTTCGTATAAAAGATATAACAACTTATTTTAGCAGACCACAAAGTGAACATCGTTCACATTATTCTCTTTGTTGAAATATACAATATTTTTCTAAGAAGATAAATCTTCGACATATTTTTTTACCTCAAAATCAGCAAAATTTCGTCAATCATATCTCTGTTTTTTTATTCTAATTCCAAATTGATTTAGAATTGTTATATATTTTTTAATTCTGTGCTTGCGCGACCACGTAGTAAATTTGAAGCACGGAAGAGAGAAAGATTAAGAATAAAGATACAGAGATTCGATTGTATATAGAATAATACGCTGCAGCTGATATACAATATTAATTTATTAAGCTCGCGTGTGTGTAATTCGCAGAATATTAAATTGTTCAATCAACAGTTGTTTGTCACGCATAAATACCAACCGTGGAACCGATAGTTACAGAAATGCAATTATATCTTTGTGACTTCAATCGTGCTGTTTAACGATGTAATAGGTTCAAATGAATGTTTTACTTCATAACGTTGAGTAATATCTATTTAACAATTCTGGAATATCTACAATGTATCTAAATGTAAAAGCTACTCTATATTGACTAGATTCAATCATATTTTTGCGCTATTCTTTCTCAATACTTCAATATATCTACTGCATATTAACGCGTCTTTGTATGTAGACGAAATATATAAATAAATACAAATAAATAAATACAAAATTTTACACGCAAGAGCTAGAAACTTATAAAATACAGATATACTTTACTGGTAATAAATATATATTTGGTGCAGAAATGTTTTAATAAAAAAAAACTAAATTTTTGTCAAAATACTGAATACGATTCCTTGGGAGAATTTAAATATATTCTATTGAGGTAAGAGAGTTACAGGTAAAATAAATGGAATATTTGCGGAAACGGCTTTCTAATGATCAGTTTGGTAAAATATATACTATATATATGTTTTATGTGATTGTATGTACTACCGTCAATAATCGGACGGAAAATTGCTGAAATTCTTTATGACAATATAAATATGTAATGCAAATGTTTCACAGAATATACTTAACAATCTAAACTAAAACTTGCATAAGCTGGCCAACGTTTTATAGTCATTGTCATAATTTCGCTGCTAGTACACTGTACCGTTCTTATCAACCTGTTTTACTTAAACATAGATACTTTATTCGGTTCAGAATGGCAGCTTGTTGTTCGTGATCGAAATATCTCTTTCTTTTTGTAGTAAAACGGTTTACGATTAAAATTAAATCTCGTTTTATAATATCGTTACGAGTAGCTTTTGTTATTTACAGTGAGCATTTTTTAGACGTTTCGCTCTCCTTCGCTTTGCACTGTACCGTCTTATCGTGATAGCGTTACTCACAAGGCATATGGTGCAGAAATTTGATTCGACAAGGTCAAATCTAGCAGATCCCCTTGTCGTCCCCATTAACCGCGTTATCCTCGCGGTTTCCGTAAGCGTCTGCTCCATTTTCCGTTTCGATCAAATTATGTAACTCCTTGCACAACATTTCCTCGCATACCTCGCCGTCCATCGCCGCATTCTCGATTATATTTTCATAGTCGTTCGCCGTCTCATTCTCAACCGCTTTCTTAAGGTCAGATTCTATTATCTCCTCGCAACTCTTGAACATCTCGGGATTCTCGTTTAATATCTCAGGATTTTCGTTTGAATTCAGGATATCTGTATTGACTTCGTCATCCGTTGTGTCGGTGGAATGCGACACTTTCTTCAGCACGCTATCCACCAGATTCGACGCGAAACTCTTGTTCTCGTTTCCCTCGTGTATCGTTTGATGTATCGGCAGACTTTGCGGTCTATTAGGACGTCCGTAGGGGAACGTGTTTTCTTCACCTGCCGGTGTGTGCACGGCAGATATCTCTGTTTGAGTACCAACGCCGTTATCGACGAGGGCGGGTTTCGGTTTCATGCTGGACATACAACGCTTTATCTCGGTCATCGAGTCTTGCAACTGTTGGACCTGATAAAAAAAAATTAAAAAATATTAGAAATATTTTACGTTTTTTTTGGGGCGGGCAAGGTATACAAATCTTTTCTGAAAATTGACCTGGGTATGGAGCAGATTGCACGTTTGCGCGAGATTATTGACTACATCCGCATTTGGTTGTAGAGTATTGTCTGCATCATTGAAGGTATTCTCTCGATTGCCGCCCGGTTGCAAGCTGACTACTTTCTTCCACAATGCATTAATCGCTTGCATCTGCAATAACTGTAATTTGTGCTCGCTTTCGAGAGCGGTTCTCGTAGCCTCCATGTCTGTCGATAATTTTCTGCAAAATATTTTATATGTACATCTCTTATTCTATAAATACAATATTACGCATGAAAAAGATGAAATCTTACTGGATATACTTATTCGTTCTTAACATGTCGATCGTTTGTAATATACTAGTGGCTTTTCTGTTAAGGTTTCTTGTATGGTAGCCTCGCCATATTCTTTGAATACAGATAGCAGCCTTTTCGGTCTGATCTTGGTCTGCAAGACAATGTCCATTAAATACAGAGCATTCGTTAATATTTGCACTTGACATTTTAAACATCTTACCTTTGTTGCTGTCTTCTTGCCTTCTTTGAATAGCCCTGTGCCGAATGCTATCCAATTTCGCTTGACACACCTCACTGTCTTCATCGCTGCTCTGAATTCCAGCGTCGCCGTCTTTCTCGTCTTTGTTCAAGTTTCTCTTGAGTCTTTCACTCGCGCTCTTCGGTCGCTGTATACTTCTAGCTAAATTGGGACTCTTTGTGCTTCTCTTCGCAGGCAATGTCCTGCTTTGAACGTAATTATTAATTTTCACACTATGTGGACACTTACTGTTAGCATGTGTCACAATCGGTTTCGCTATATTCGGTTTCACGACGCTACAATTTGTCGCGGAACTACTTTTCACAAGCGCATTCGCCTTTATACCGCTTAGATTCGTTTTCGCCATTGGATTTACGGTGTTTATGATCGGAATTGCCTTTCCATCGCCGTCCATGGATGGTTTACTAGGTATTGTGATTTGACAAGGAGAGCTTAATTTACTTGACGTGGGAGTCTTCAGTAAAATCCGCGAAAGGCCAGACGGTGGACGAAAGTCTGGACTCATCAAGGACTCTGGTACCGGCACTAACTTGGTTGCCGCTTGCAGAGGGCTCGAAACAGTCTCTGGACAGAATGTAACGTCTTTTATCATAATCTGGTTTCGTTTAATCTGATTCAGTCAGTATAGTTGCCTCACCTTCCATATTCTGCAAACTGTTGTTTGACGTTTTGTTGCTCAGTGTACCAGTGAGCATATTAGGATCTAAGCTTTGGGTCATCAAATTTGTTTCGTGATCATCACCCAATAAACCATGACACGAAGAAACCATAGCGTCAGTGTGACAGCTGGACACCATTCGGTCAGGCGATTTCATTTTCAAGGAGTTCCTCGAGGAAGCTGCCAAAATATTGTTTTATGCTATAATCACAACGCTTACCGTGCAACAAACAAAATTATATCATATTTAAATCCATTTGTGTGTTTAGGAAGTTTCAGACGCTAGCATTGCTAGCAAAAGCATGCAAATGATATGTAGCCTACTAATCGAAATTAAATGCTATTAAAAAAAAAGATGTAATTTTTCCAAATCGTCCTATGCTAATATGCTATCATAATGAAATCTTCTAAGTGTAGCGCCTCCGTGTTGATATTTTAACTGCTTTCATCGGCCAATGGTCGTTCGCACTATATATAAGCCTAAAGAAGCAATTGCTTTAGAAAGTACAATGCATCAAGAGAGCTACAGGCATGTGCACGAATCCAAACCAGATGATTCTTTTATATTTCAATCATGTTATGAACAATTAAATAATATTAAAAGTGAGATGTAGGGAAAATAAAATATAATAATAAGAATATAAGGATATTTATATGTACTGAATATTAATGCAATAAATATATGCCATATATAAAAGCCATTTTAAAAAATATAAAAAGATTATTAAATAAAATATATTGAAAGTCCTACTCTCTCTTTCTCTCAATTTAATTTGCATTGTTGAATAAGAATATTATAACTTTATTAACTAAAAATTTCATTCGTGAACTTCAAAAAACACAATTGCCTTTAGATTCTTGCACGCATTCCTACTATGGTGGTTTCATTCAATATATGAGAAATCCTCAATATGGCCTTGGATACCTTTGTAAGGAATATGGCAGACACAGTATTTTGCTTCATAAAATTTTGGTGATTGTAAGTATTTATCTTCATAGTATGTCAACATTGGCACTAGAGAAAACAGATCATAACTAGGGTGTATGTACTGAAAAACTTGACATCTGGACGGTCTAAGTCACTACGATCTAAGTCCACCTGTCGCAACTATGAGTATAAACCTAGTTCTAAGAATCCTCGAATTCATTCCAGTCTTTGGTATGGCACTACACGAGAAGACGATGGATATATTGGACTCACTAGGTCGCCTGGGAGAATTTGTCCTGTTATGGCTAAGTCTACGTCTAGCGGCTGGGGAAGGACTCATTGTCACGCTACTCAAGCTGTGCACGCTCCCGGTATCGCTCTGTTGATTCAACTGCTGTTGGTGATGTTGAGCTTTGCTCAGTATAAGTCTAAGTTTCCGGTCCGTCTCGTTCTCTAAAGACTCGCCCGAAAGTGGACAGACGGACGCAAGATATTGAGCAAGTAAGGCGTGTTCACCAACACGGAATTGTCTACCTCGTCCCTGAGAATACAGCCACTCTGCTTTCAAGCTAAGTAAAGAGTGAGTAGTTGCCAATCAGTTTCGCTCGTCGGGGTCCAATAGATTAATTTTCATACAATGTTGACTATGTAAGAATGTACTTTAGAGAAAACCCACCTTTCAAGAGGATCAACCGCATAACCGTCGATCGACTTTAAGCTCATACACCAATTAATAACAAAAGGCCGATAGTCGAACCCACTATAGACCATTTGTTAAGAATAATACGCTATTGTAATGATGCTACTGATTAACATGAACTAATTTTCCTGTGTCTAGTAACTGTGAGAGCTATATTTAATCGATAGAAATTAAATTGCTTGTGACAATTGAAAGAAAACATTATACTATATGATACCATATCAGTAACAATAAAATTCTCTTTGCAGCTATAATTAATATATTGGAAAAATAACATTGAGAAAGGTCTGCTAGATTTCTAGATGGAATAGTAACACGCTTACGGTTTGCAAAAAGGATACATACTGTTACCTGTTATACTGACACACGGATTGTTAGCAATCGAGAAATTCACCAGATTTTTTAGATTACCCAGGTGCGACATTTCATTTAAGTCAGTAATATTGTTATTTGCTAATGTGAGTGTTTCCAGGGACGTGGGCAAGTAGCGCTCGCACTGACGCAGCGTTATTATGCGATTGTTATGCAAGAAGAGTTCCTAAAATGTTACGTTCATCTTGTAAAAGTACAGGGAAAACCATACTCCAAACTCAACATGTCGAATAAAGCGATAACTCGGTGAGGCATTCAACTATCGTTTGCATTTTATGCAAAACGTTAAACGAACGTAACATATGTACCTTTAAACTTCGCAGATAGGATATATCTGAGACGTGACTGATGCTGTTTTCAGACAAATCCAGATGCTCCAATTTCGTATTTGTGTGCAGATGCTCAATAGACTGTAACGTGCCGTTATTATGTAACAGTAATACTACAAGGGCGTTGCCACAATTATACAATCGCGTTCCTTATATAATGTAACACGTATACCGTACCTTGATATTATTACCCGCTAAACAGAGAGTTTGCAAATTGATCATATCCTTGATACCTTCTATCGTAAGTATGCCATTGTTCGCCAAATTGAGGGTAACGAGATTATGCAACTTCGACACGCCGTACATCCGCAGCAGTTGATTTCTGATTATCGAAAGCTGAAAGCAACAGAACTGTTGAACGCACGTGTATTTCAAAGCGATAAAACTGTCCTTGCGTTTACAAAAGAACCACCTTTAAATCGTAACGCTGTAAATTATTACTACAATCTTACTCTATCCAACTTTCTATTCTATTCTATTTCATACATATATGAAATCTAGTTTTAAATCTTCTTAAATGTCGAGATATCGATGAGGATGAGTTTAGCGAAGGAGCCACTGAGCGCAAAGCTAGGAAATATCGCTCCATTACAAATGTTGAAAACTATACCAACAGTTTAGCAATTTTCAAGGCTGCGCTACCTTCGTAATCCTGTGGTAAGAATCCAGGTTCTCGAGCCGCTGCAGCTCATTGTCGTCTATGATCAACGTGCTAATGTCAGCGTCCGAGGGACACCGGCTGAGCTTCTTGAGGCCCTGGCCGCTCAGGTCGAGGGTGTCGCACGCCAGAGATTCTGAAAACGAGGAGAGCGGTCAACATCGGTAAGCGGACACGTCCCGACGACGCATGTAAACAGCGGCGACGGAGGGACAAGCCGACGGGGGCTGGCGAGCGCGTGTCGGATCGCGGGAGCGATTCCAAGCTGGCACCGACGAGCGGGCGCGTACGCGCGAGTCGCGCGTCTCTCGCCCGCCGCGCGTGTTCCGCCGTCGCCGCGCGGCTAAGTAAGCCGCGGCGTAAAGTCAAGCGGCGATCCCGCGACGAGCACTAACCCGTCGAAGCCATGATGAACACAAACTGGCGGACGCCGAGATGTCGTCGCGGTCACGATACGAGAATCGATATATACGAGCTAGATTTTCGAACGAGATGCTACTATATACGTATATAGATAATATATATCTGGTTCGCACACATACACGCATGCACACGCGCGCGCACACGAATTTTGTGCAAACCAAACCTCGAATTTAAGTCGGGAGGAACTTCTACCCTTGGCCTCCGTTCGCGAACTACGAACGTACTGAAATTAGCTAATTATTTCGTTACTCGCAGCGTTGTAATCATCGCGGCGGAAGCGTCGCGATTAAAAATAGGAAGCGAGAGGCGCGTCCGCCGCTATTGATTTTCAAATCGCGTGATCGAGAGCGCAATATGGCGCATCTCGCTCTGAAGTTAGACCCGCGGCCGCGCGCGCTCTCGAGCAGGGCGGCAAACGGTTGGCCGGAAAACGCCTAGCTTCAGACGTGACGCGCGTTTCGAGCGCGCGTCTCTGCTGTTTCGTTGAGGATTTTCCAATTCACGAGTTCGTCGGGAATTGTCGTTTTCCCGGAGAAGACGCAGTCAGCTTAGAATCAACGCCGGCTCTCGGGTAAGATCTCATGTGGTGCTTCTCTTGTCGAGGCTGCTGGACAGATATCGTCGTAATGCGCGCGGGCTTCGGCAGCCTCGGTTGCCGGAGCACGTGTCTCGTTGTAGCCACGTGGATTCGAACGGGGACGCGAGACGGTAAGATGAGACCGAGGATTCGCTTGATTGACATTTGCATGCGGCAGAAATACACGAACGCGCAGAACGACGCGCGAGCCGCCGGCAAGACTCAGTGGAAGCGGGTGCGTCTGAAGAGCGCGCGAGACCTGGAACCGAGCCGAGAGAGTCTAACCTCCAAGAGTGCCGACTCGCTCTCCAGCTCGCCCGTCGATCTCGAAGCGGGCTCGCACAAGTCATTCTCGAAGTCTCGGGCGGCAGCAGCGAGCAAGTCCTACGTTAATACGTCGGTAACGAAACTTAGCATAAACTCGGGTGTAGAGTCTAGAGATGTAAAAGTTCACGATGCAAAGGAGCTTCACGCGCGAGGAATTGGGTCGAGTTCGCAGCTGTGCCGAAACGACGTTCGGGAATTGAAGAGCGACACGGACGCAGGCTCGGGCACGAGTTCGCTGAAAGATGATAACGTCAGAGTTAATGAAATAAATATGCAAATGTTGCCCGAGGCACTGTACCGGCAAATGTTCGGGCAAGATACCAAAGAAGACCGTCTCACCGACGAGGAGGTCGACGGCATAAAGAAAAATTTAGGTGCGTACGATATAAACGTAGCGGACGCGACCAGACTGCCGGATGTGAACCTGAAGCTACCGGCTTTGGAAGGTAAAGATGTGGAGGAGCATTTTTACAATATCGGGAAGGCGCAGGCCAAGCCGTACTTAGGAATCATAAACGACATTATGCGGGACATCCCCGAGATGCCGGCGCAGTGGCTCTTCAAGGAAGGCTGGACCAGATACACGGCGGACGGTGCGGCAGAGAGCGTGGATTATCCGCTGGAGGACGGCGTAATCTTCGACGTTGAAGTCTGCATGAAACAGGGCCCCCTGCCCACTCTCGCCACCGCGGTCAGCGGCAAGGCCTGGTACGGTTGGGTGTCAAATTCCCTGGCGCAGAGCATCAGTCAGACGTTCGACACGCAGTTGTTGACGCCGAGTATGCTCGTACCTATGGAGAGTAGCAGAGAGGAACACGGGTGTAGACTGAGCCAGCATCAGAAGAGGCCGAAGATCGTCGTGGGCCACAACGTGTCGTACGATAGAATTAGAATCAAGGAGCAGTATTGGCTGAATTGCACGGGGACTCGTTTCCTCGACACCATGTCGCTGCACGTGTGCGTCAGTGGTCTCAACAGCTACCAACGAGCGCTGTTGTTGTCCAAAAAGGCGAACGCGGAGAAGGAGGTCTGGCAGTCCACGACTTCGTTGAACAGCCTGGCGGAGGTGCACAAGTTGTACTGCGGCCGTGAGATAAGTAAGGTGGCGAGGGACTTGTTCGTCGAGGGTACCATTGACGATATCAAAAGCAATTTCAACATGTTGATGTCCTACTGCGCCTCCGATGCGGTTGCCACCCACAGTATACTGCGCAATCTGTTCCCGCTCTTTCAGGAGAGATTCCCCCATCCGGTCACCCTGGCCGGAATGCTGGAACTCGGCTCGGCGTACTTGCCGGTGAATTCAAACTGGCAGAGATACTTGGAGGAGTCGGAGTCGACGTTCGACGACTTGAACTATGAGGCGAAATTCACTCTCGCCAAGAGGGCCGACGCCGTCTGCCGGCTCATGCACGACGAGAAGTACAAGGAGGATCTGTGGATGTGGGATCAAGATTGGAGCACGCAGCAAATTAAGATAAAAAGCAAAGCCTCGAGAGCGAAGCCTGCTGACGTTGCGGAGAAAGCGAAGGAGCAGTTGGACACCGAGAAGTATTTGTCAGACGACGAAGAAGCGGAGGAGGATCCGCTGACAAAGGAATTCGCGTACTTGGAGGAGACCAGGCATTTATTGCCGGCTAAAATGCCGCACATGCCGGGATATCCAGCCTGGTACAGGAAGCTCTGTCCCAAGCAAAGCGACGAGAACTGGGCGCCAGGTCCGCAGAATATCAGCACTTCCATGCAGGTGGTACCGAAGCTGCTGAACCTGACGTGGGAGAAGTATCCGTTGCATTACATAAGGGAACATGGTTGGGGAATTCTGGTGCCTTACAACGACGATCTCGACACGGAGACTAAGCTGCCGTTGAAGAATCTCTTGGCGCAGTGTCCTCTGCCAGCGTCCAGTTCGTCCAGGGACACTTCCGACTACGCGATGGCTAACCTGAGCATCGACGTGCAAAACAATCTTCACAGGACGGAATTCTGGCGATTTAAGAAGAAGCAGGACGAGCCGCACGACGAAACGTACAAGGGTACCGGCGTGTGGTGCAACGTTGATCTCGACAATTGCTGCTACTTCTTCAAACTGCCGCACAAGGACGGCGCCAATTACAACGTCGGCAATCCGCTCGCCAAGGACTTCCTCAACAAGTTCTCCGAAAACGTGCTCGCTGGCTTGGACGTCAGCGCCGCGGAGGTGCTCAAGATCGCCCGCATGCTGTCCTACTGGCGTAACAATCGCGACAGGATCATGTCGCAGACGGTGATATGGCTAGACGATCGCTCGCTGCCCGGCAGCGTTAAGAGAGCGAGGCGGCACAGGTGTTACGGCGCGATAATACCTCAGGTGATCGTTTCCGGCACCTTGACGCGTCGCGCCGTGGAGCCCACGTGGATGACGGCGTCGAACGCGCACGTCGAACGAATCGGTTCCGAGCTCAGATGCATGGTGCAAGCGCCGCCGGGATACAACATCGTCGGCGCCGACGTGGACAGCCAGGAACTGTGGATCGCCTCGATCGTTGGGGACGCGCACTACAAGCGTGTTCACGGAGCAACGCCTTTCGGCTGGATGACCCTTATCGGCACCAAGTCCAACGGCACCGACATGCACAGCGTCACCGCCAAGGCCATCGGCATCTCGCGCGATCACGCCAAGGTGATCAACTACGCCCGAATCTACGGCGCCGGCCAGAAGTTTGCCGAACGTCTGCTGAAGCAGTTCAATCCGTCTATGACGGACGCCGAGGCTATTTCTAAGTCGCGCAAGATGTTTGCTCTCACCAAGGGTAAAAAGTTATTTCGGTTGAAGGCCGAATTGGTCAACGACGACTTGCGGGATGTTCCCTACGCTCTCTTTCAGGCACGTCAGGCAGCCAAGTTGTACGGCAAAACGTTGCTGGACATGTTTCAGAAGAGCGAGTGGGTGGGCGGCTCGGAATCAGCTATGTTCAACCGGCTCGAACAGATCGCCGGCAGTGAACATCCAGTCACGCCGTTCCTCAACGCCAGATTGAGCCGCGCCCTGGAGATCACCAATACCGACGACGACGACAAGTTCCTGCCTACCAAAATTAATTGGGTGGTGCAGAGCGGCGCGGTAGACTTCCTTCACCTGATGCTGGTCTCCATGAGATGGCTGATGCGAGACAACGCTAGATTCTGCCTGTCGTTTCACGATGAAGTGAGATATCTGGTCCCGTCCAGATACAAGTACAACGCTGCGCTGGCCATGCACGTGACCAACTTGATGACGAGGTCGTTCTGCGCTTCTAGACTGGGCATGAGAGATTTGCCGATGTCGGTAGCGTTCTTCGCTGCCGTGGAAGTCGATACCGTTCTTCGCAAAGAGTCCACTCACGATTGTAAGACCCCGTCGAATCCTCACGGCTTGCAGAACGGATACAAAGTACCACCTGGCGAGAGCTTGGATGTCTGGGCCGCCTTGGAAAAATCCGGCGGCTCGCTAGGCTACTGGCACGACGCGAAAAGTCGCAAAGTTAAATCAGACGCGAATTCCGACGCTGAAAAGTCGTCGCAATCTCTCAAAGAGCCTTAAAAGGAAATTATAAGACTAATTGTAATTTTGTGTCGCGATTTTCAAGAGTATAAAATTTTGTTTCACGATATTCGAATAAAAGAAAAATAAATGGAGAAGAGAGAATAAACGTCATGGTGTTTTTAAATTTAGTTTCACAGATCACGATGTCTGCAGCAACGAAGCGTAAATATGTTTTTCAAGAATTCAGCGATATGAACCTGCCCACGGATTCACAAAGCATCGTGCAAATCGTCCGAGGATGCGGCAACAATCTTCACGAAGTTGTCACGCCCGCGGGGGAACAGTACATCGTCTCGATGCCCACCAAATTCAGGCAAAATATCTGGGTGAAAAAAGGTGACTACGTTGTTGTCGAACCAATTGTGGAAGGCAAGAAAGTCAAGGGCGAGATTGTTAAGATACTCACAAAGGTAGTTGACTCTCTTACAGCAATTTATATTTTAACAATACCCGTGGTTCCTTTTGCTTATCGTCACACATATAATCTCTGATTTAAATACCAACAGTGTTATATGAAATAATTTGATTTTGATTTGAATTACTTAATTTGCAAGCGTTAAAAGACTCTTACATTAATATATTTATAAGTATGTGCTTTTAGGATCACATAAAATTGTATCGGGAACAGAATTGTTGGCCTCTGGAATTTGATGTGAATCACAAAAGGAACGGAGATTCAATAGCAACGAATTTTACTGTGTGCGAAGACGACGAACTTTTTGTAAATACGAATCGGTGCTGTCCTACTGAGGAAATAAGCGACGATGAAAGCGATTCAGATTCCAGTGAATCTGATTCTCATTAGCTCATGACTTTTCTTTTTGCATATGGTGTAAAATGTACATAATTTTGTATCTGTAATTTGTTAGAAAGTAACTGTACTCTTGTATTATCGCTATATAAGCAGTTAAGTAATAAAACTACTTTTGCATATAACATCAAGCTTGATTTTCAATCCTACTCAGAATTATCGTAAAATTTAAATTCAAACTTGCTGCAAAGAATTGGGAAAATTCTTTACAATACATTCACTAAATCAAAACAAATTTTCTTGCAACAATTTGAGTGTTAATTTGATTTCATTATTTTCAGTCGACTGTAACTAGTAAAATTCATTTATTATTTTCAATCAAGTGGCCTAATGCTTTTTAAAGCTGCTTACTTTCTCACCAAGGAGATTACTCGATTGCCATCTCAGAGATTTCAAGAAGAGGAAATTCAAGGAGTTACTAGTCACAGAGGAAATCTAAAAGATCTAAGATGCACTCGTATGCTTGACCTAGTTTTTTTATCAAGTTTCACGTATTGGATGCACATAATTGATATTGTCCTTTCAACGGTTCACATCTTTCCAGTGAACTTGCAACTTGCTAAATTCGATTTGCGTGATTGCAGAAAGTTACCGTACCACGCTTTTTGCCATACCTATCAAAAGTTTCGACGGAATAACACACTCATCCATTTTAGCTGAAGAGAACTTGCGAAACCTTCGTTTCCCTATTTACGCGGTAATGCTCAAGTTTCCCTAATAACAAAAAACTTAATATTCCGGTAATTTTTCCTATCACGCTAGAGGACTTGTACAGCTCTTACAACAAAAACAAGTGAATAAAAGGATGCTGTAACGGAGACGGATTCTGTTAAATTCAATTTAGAAACTAAGAATTGTTCTCAAAATCTCTGCAAAGGATAATTCTTTCGCACTTATTAATTAATTACGAAAACAAGTTTTTTAATTTTCAGACTTCATTTCCTACAAATTGGAAACGTTGGACATGTTGAAGAACTTTTAATTGAACAGCGACTAAATGTATAAATAAAATTAATAACAGATTTTCGCGAGTTAATTTTTGTAGACTGTACATTTTTTTATGAAAACCATATTCACTTAGGAATAGTTTCAAGGATGCGATTCGACAGGATAGAAACATCGATAAAATTCCACTGTTTCTTCCTGTTTGAAAAATTGCTTATGTCGAAATTTCGCCGCGAAATAACACGAGAAAACGTTTCTCTTATTTGTCATTCAGAAGAGGATAAATATCACAATGCTGAATGTAAGATGTATGCGACGAATGTTCCTTTTCTGACAAAGAAGTTGTATTACGACTTGTATTGGAAAGATGTTAGCGACGTTAGCAAAAACGATTTATTTCGACGTAAGAAGTCACTTCTGCGCAGATAAGGGATGATTTACTGGTTTTAACTCGACTGAATAATCCTTTTGACATGAACAAACGTAAAGTGGGAAGAGAAATATTACACAAATGCTGGCAGCATGGAAGACGAAAAATTCTGTTTCCTAGAATGTGGAAAAAGAGATTTGACGAGAGTAATAACAAATCGAGTTATAACATTAATTATTTTAATATACATAGGACAATATCAAAATTAAATTTCGAAGTTTTTGAATTTTTATATTTAAAATTTTCATAATTTTTCATTTTCAATTTTAGAAGAAGGTAACTATTAACTATATGAATACTGATTTTAATATGCTTTTTAAAAAGTAGATTTAGTTAAATTTTGTATATAAAAAAATAATTTAATTATTCTTTTAATGTTTTTTTATTTAGATTGGAAAGTAATTTTTTCATGTTTCGGAAAATTATGGTTACGCGGTTTGACCGAGATGTTTTTAACGCATTTTCAGCATTACAGAAAAGGTGCATGTTACGAATATCATGTAAAGGTTATCACATTATACATAACAAAAGGTTCACTGTAAAAATTATTTATGACAAGTATGAAATTAATTTCTGTTTCTCTTTTAACAAACTATGAATATTCTTTATAATGTTATTACGCATTATCTCTTCTATCAAATTTCGTGTAGCGTTTGTTAAACAATGTGCTTTTTCAATATCGAAAAATTGATCTGCAGATAAATTATAATACAGAGCTATATAGTTCATCTCGTTAATCACATTAATAATGCTGATCTCTTATACAAAATTATCAGAATGGAAAGGCCGCCGCGAGCGTTTTAGAAACTTAACTGTGAAGTTAAATTGTCTGTTAAATATATTATCTAAAATTTTGTCGTGCTTCGTAGCGACGAGTCAAACGATAAAATTTACGAAAACCTAATCCTAATCTAAGATACTTATATCGTTTCCAAAAACTTTAAAATGATCTCAAAAGAATCTCGAAACAACCATCGAACAAGGAAAAGTATTTCTAAAAACTAGTGAAATTGCACGTAAAAATGTCTTTTCTTAAAAATACTTTCTCGTTAACTTCTCCGAGAAGATTTAAAAATGTAATGTAATAATAGAACTGAAATGATGTGTGGTTTTAAGGAAAATTTCCGCTAAAAAATAACTTCTTAAATTCGCCGGTTTCTGCGGAGAAAATTGCTCTCAAGACGTATTTCACCGTCGTCTCGGATCTTCTACAATAGAATTTCTCTAAAAGAAACTGCGTCTGCGAGAAACAATCGTATTAATATTAAAACAATAGCGCGATATTCAGAAAGAGATTCGATTAATCTGATTCGACGGTACGTTGAAGGAGATTCGCGCTATCAGCGAAATACACGGACGGGGAGCAGTCGACAGGTGTCGGTGGCGATATCATCGAGATCATCGCGCTCAGTTCGTGTTCAGCAACGTTCTATCGCGTATGACAGCTCGTTCTAACATCTTCTGCACGATAGACGTCTAATGGCTCATTCAGACTGAACGCGATGAGCGATGAGCGATAATCCAATGGGCGTGCGGTCTTCATAGGAAAAGAGTACGCTTTCCCATAAAACTTGTACGCCCATTGGATTATCGCTCGTCGCTCGTCGATTATCGCGTCCAGTCTGAGCGCGGCATAATTATTCAGTGGTATCAGATCGATAGTGTCGATTAACGAGTCCAAACAATCGATCGGTGACCTTAACCCGGTGAAGGCACGGTTCTACTTGAAATTACAAACATTTTCGTGCACAGTCGACGTTGTTCTAGGCGTCTCGCGGGCGCTAAATTGTAAACAGCGCGTCTTCCAGCACGAGCCGGAGCTCGTAATTTCGTTTATAACGATTGGAAGTGGAACTCGATCACTGCAATATTGCAAGCGTTTCGGTTATATTGCGGTTTCGCCGTCGCGAAAATTCGAGTACGTGAAAATAAAATAAAAGAGAGAAACGACAACACAGTGGAAACCGTAGCAATGTGCGGCAATTGTGCAGTGACGGCCGATCGCGGACTGTAAACGCTACGCAAACATTCAAGCGGCAATCGAACGCGTGATATATTTTTGCCTGTCGACTCTTCGAGCACTACTACAATGATAATCTAATTTCAATTGAATTATGACTGTAATTTTCTCGCGACACTCTACTTGGCAGCGAAACTGGAGCGTGAAACAGTTGTTTGTACCGCGAACGGAAAAGAGGAGCGTTTATTTTGTCAAACAGCAATAAACGTACCCACTTTATCAGCACTTCGCTTAATTTGCGAGATTGTCCTCGAAGGACCGGTACGAACATCGCATTCGGGGTGAAATTGCTTTCGGCGTATGCAGGGATTCAATTAGAAACGCTGAGAGCGTATGCGCGACTATTATCTTATCCGCTTCGCATTAGCTTCCTTCCATTATCCCGAAAGGATTGTGCGAGAAGAAGGTGCGCGAGCGAGTGACCCACTAACAGCCAGCGAGAGAAGATTTACTGACGGGTTATCGAGGCCCGACGTTTCTTTGTTTGCGTGCGCGATCCCGAGACGCGATACGTCAGGATGTGCATACGCGAAGGTATCGTCGCGATGAGCCGAACCAACGTGTGACATCCTCGCGAGGGCTCCGAGCATGGGGACGTTGAGCCAGGACGAGAACGGTACGCCCGATTTCTGGCGGGACTGGGACCTGAGCGACCTGACCGAGGCCGAGTACCTGAGCAAGGTGCTGGGGCCCAAGTACCTGCCACCCAGGCTGGTGATACCGCTCACGATCGCCTACGTGGTGATCTTCATCACCGGAGTCTTCGGCAATGTCGCCACGTGCACGGTCATCATCAGGAACTCGTCCATGCAGACCGCCACCAACTATTACCTTTTTAGTCTGGCCATATCTGACCTAACTCTACTTATATTAGGTGAGCGAACAAAGGGCGACTTCTCGGTGCTACCTTTGTACTTGGAACGTTTCTCTCGTAGGCTAATATCCCTCCAATTTTAATTAATTGTTCCGCGCGATTACGCTTCCTCCGACTTCCAGTTACTCGCCGGGGAGAATGTAAAAAGAAATCGTGTCAGTGATGTCTCAGAACGATCTTGTCAGAGTTGATGGTTATAATTAGAGGTGTGACATTTTTATGGTATCTTTATACGCAAAATATACCCCAGGAACGTTTTTAATGTCGTTTCTTTACACTTTGGAGTCCCCAACTTCGTAAATGTAAAAAATGTAAGTACATTTTATTGATTCCCCTTAGGGTTACAAGGCGTTTTTGAAGGAACGTGCCCAAACCTGTTATAACACCTCTCTCTATATCCACTTCGCTATGTGGCGATCGAACGAAAACTAACAATGTTTTCGTTTGGTTTTGAACCTGGATATTCGGATTACCAGACCAGCGCATAATCCTCTGCGCCACGATCGCCACGAGTCCCCAACTTCGTTTTAATATGTTTTTAAAAAGCAAAATAACGCAAAATGATCCTCAAACACGCAAAATAGCGTCCAAAATAACGTCAAAAATCGCAATTTTTCTTAGTAAACATTTCTGACGTCAACGTTGTATCCTAAACCAAAGAGATTTATGCCTAAGACTAGTTTTTTAGACACGTTACTGCTTTTATAGCCTGATAATGGTATGTAATTTCAGTAATTTGTTCCATGCTATTTTAATATGTTATGTTTTAGGTTACATTTTCTAACATACGTTTAGCCTTAATAAATGCCGTAGATTGTTCTATCAAAACATTAGGCCCGGTTTCACCAACGTTGTTTAGCTTTAAGCTTAGCTTAATTCGTTCTTTGCCTCTTTCTAAAGTAACAGTTGGAAAGAGACAAAGAACCAAGTTTAAAGTTAAGTTGGTGAAACCGGTCCTAAGTCGTCTTATTGAAGCCCTGCCCACCTCTGACCACGGCATTATCAAAAACATTATCAAAATAATGCAAAATCCAGAAAAACAAAACACAAAAGATGCAAGAAAATAACATCAAAATAACGCAAAATCTGGAAAAACAAAACGCAGAAAATGCAAAAAAGTAACATAAAAATGTCACACCTCTAGTTATAATTGTCGGTAATTAAAATCTGTTAATAATTTGTGCAAAATAAATATTCTTCACATGGAATTGAAATGAGATGAAAGGTCGTGAGTAAAGAAACTGAATTTACAATATTCTTGTCAAATGTGAAAGAGCATTCTAGTGACAAAGAAAAATAGAGGGCATCGGATATAACAGACCTAACGGATATAACATTCCTTGTAGTTAATACTTGATGTGGAATCTATATTTAAACAACTTGGATTTTAATGATAGCGAAATGAGAAACGCTCGCAGACGGGTTTAATAAAAAAATACCTCTGTGATGTAAAACGAAAGAAACAAGAGTATGCGTGATACCACATACTTATTACTATTTAAATAAAATTCGAGCCTTAGATGGTTTGCCTTAAGTATACAAGCGAAATCTCTGCCTTGACCTTCTTTAAAATTTTCTTCCTCTTTATCATTCCGAAAAGATAATATCAATGTAAGATTCGATAGGACGGTACGTGCTATGTTGCGTTTTACGCGATTCCACGTTCTTGGTTTATGTATTCGTGCATGTTCTTTATCTCGCGCGCAACGCGTAGAATTTTATTTCGCGAATTACATATCCGCGAGCGGAAAGTTCGTCCCCCTTATCGCATTCAATCGGGAATCGATACAAAGCAACGTCGATGACCGAATCGCTTCTGGCTGGTAAATCAACGGCTCGTTAACCGTCGATGGCACTCCGCTCGCTGATAATGCGATTTTGATAATTGGTAAAGCGATTGATAGCGATAGCTGGTTTAACTAAAACCGTTCTCGTTTGGATAATGCAGAATAATAGATACATTGCGGTGTCGATTTGGTCGAGAACCTGTCTACAAAATATATATAAATTTCGCCGGGCTATTCCCGAACGCGCCGGGTAAGGTGCAAAGAGGCCTCAATAATGAATGAGGTCAAATTCCGTCGAAGGGACAAATTGGTTCGGATTTAAAGCCGATGGAGCGACAGAATGGAACCAATCCCTTTAGCATGGTGACAAATTAAACCGAGAACCTCCGGCGTATCTCGTGTATGTCTTTGCGCTTTTTTCCTAACAGTTTTGCTTCCGCGTAATTTCAACGAGCGATAACGAACCGCTAAAGAGTATTGCGAAACTGTAACGCCTCGGCATTATTCGCACATTTTCGGCACATTTACAATAGAAATGAATTATTGTATAAATACAAGTATCCCCTTTGTTGCAGCTATTGGTGAAATACCGCACGTTTGTAACTGAGAACGCTCAAAGACGCAATTAAAATCATTTTCGTCGATACTGTCGATGTATTTAGTCGCCAATATATATTTCATATTTAAGCAATTTGCAGCTTTGATTAATTTAATCATCGTTAATCATTAGTAACGCTTGACGATGCGAGCGTTTCAAAGCGCGACGCAGGTGATCTTTCACCGGGATAAATAAAATCAATTATTGTATGTTATCTGTATTATCGCGATATACACTCACACAGCAACTTGACGTGAGATATTCTCTTGTCTTCCTAGCATTGACGCACATAGATAAAAGCTTGAAATTAATCTCCGTTTTATGTGCACAATCGCAATTGTTATCTGCACGGTGGTCTGTTTGCTGATGGCAACAACGACGCTCGTATTTACGTCATTGCGAAGAATTCGCGAGGCTGAAAACTTGGACGTGATAACAATTCTACGTGAAAGCTCCGAAGAGACGGGCCATTCTCCTCGCTATTTTTCAGCTGCCACGCTCTTTTAACATGCGCAAATGCGACGGAAGTCAACGTGCCCGTATCGCATAACGTATGAAGTAATTTGAATAGCATTCAAATATCTGGACGGCGTGCTAAATAAGGATTTAATGAAAATCCAAATTTCTAATATTAAAATAAACAGATAAATATGATTCTTGGCCTCGTGAATGAATTAAATCCGGCATGTTTTTTGCTAAAGTTAAAAGAGAAATTCTCTGCAGGAAAAATATCGTGAAATGTTTGCAACAGACGTGCAAACTACTCAAACATACCGATCGAATATCAAGAGGGATGCCGCCACTCACGTAGAATTTAATTATAAATCAGTTGTCGGTTCTGGCACGAGAGAGAGAGAGAGAGAGAGAATATGTGCGTGCATGTGTGTGTATAAGTGAATGAGTGAGTGAGAAATAGGGGGGGGGGGGAAGAAAGAAACTGAAATAATCGCGTGCGCGTGTTCATAGAACTGACGAGTAAAACAGCGGTTTTGCAACGCAATAAAAGACTTTGTCAGGTGACGAATGTTGTTGTATAACATGAGCGTTGCTTGTAGAAAACGTTTATAGGCACAATAGGGACGACCGAAGGGTTTCTGTTCGAGGAAGCTATATCGTTCACGATAAATTCACGTGAACTTCCGGTAGTGGGAACTTACGAGGGTTTCAGTGCCTATTGTGAAGCTTTAGAAAAGGACGAACGTGAACGACTACATGTCGGACGACTACCGGACAGCTTTTATGCTTCGGAAAATGATTGGAAAGTACAAAATCTGGCATATAGCGACGAAAAATACGGTGAAAAATGTGCATTTTTATCGTTATTAATAAAAATAATGCAGTATTTTATTTTTCAATTAAATTCTAATGTAATTAAACTCTGTAAGATGTTACGTTATTCTCGACGCTTTTGTTTCGATTTTCGTTCTAATAAAAATTCCTCTCTTAAGAAAATTAATGCAAATTAAAGTGCAGTTGCAGTGGAGATACTACAATAATTTATGAGAATAGAATTTTTCACCGCACACTTCCTTGTCTTCTTCACCTTCCTTACTCTGTTCTGATTTCCATTTCCTTGCACACTGCACATATATGTAAATTGTATTTATTTGAGCGAGCTAAGATATTCATTAAAATTTAAATAGAATTAAAATTTACATTGTAAAACAGTTAAAATCAAAGTAAAGAGACAGAAAGAGAGAAAAAATACATAAAAGAAAGTGAAAAGTTGGTACAAAAGGAGTAGAAAAGACGGGCTTTCTATTAACGGACAGATAGCAGAATAAAGATATTTTGCGTTGAAAGGTACCGTCATGTTCATTATTTATTATTCATGATTATTAATTAAAATACAAACACATTTGAATGGAGTTTATTGAATTCATTCAATTCACAGCGACGACAAACCCGGCGAATGTTCAGTTCGCTTCCGCGGCGTAGGTAATGCGTGAAAGTTGTTTTAATTTGCACATGGAAGGCGCGCAACCTCGTTAATATTGTCATGATGCGATGCGGTGTGATGCCTTCGCACTAATTACCAGCCGGGCTTAAGTCAGTCGTAAATCTGCTTTTCGGAAAATTAATTTACGCCCACGCGAAGAGCAGGGGGAGGGGGTCTATGCAAGCGTTATACTCCAAAGCATGTAGTACGAAACTTTAATACCGACGTGCATTAAAGTAGATTGAAAATGTGGAGAGATTAAAGTAAAAAGCCGAGTGGAATGTTGTCAAATTTCACAAGAGAGAAACACTAACTGTACAACTAAAAGTAGCGGCAATCTATACAATTCTCTAACCTATTATGGAAAATATTTTTATAATAATTAAATGCACGCATGCTCGCATAGGTTTAATTATTTTCAATGCATATTTAAAGGTACTCAGGACGTTCTAGACTATTTTACGGTCTACGGGATCTTAGGCCATTTTCGAATCAATTTTGCTTTGCCAAAAATCTAACGAAACATCTGTATAACGTTGTTGGAATAACTTTTTAATCGATCTATTAAACGCTAATTAATTATATTTTAGGTCTCCCCAATGAGCTAAGCGTGTTCTGGCAGCAATATCCATGGGCCCTGGGTACGGGGCTATGCAAAATTCGGGCGTATGTGTCAGAAATGTAAGAAATATCATCTCGTCTGGTCCTTATATCTCGCGAAGATATCTGACACGATCTCCTAAATCCGGGCATCACTTTTCACAGGTCGTCCTACGTGTCGGTCCTCACGATCGTGGCTTTCTCCATGGAAAGGTATTTGGCCATCTGTCATCCGTTGCGCATCTATTCGATCAGCGGTCTGAAAAGACCGACACGGTTTATCCTTGCAGTTTGGTCGATTGCAATGGTCTCGGCCATACCGTTCGCGATTTATACCAAGGTCAATTTCGTCGAATATCCGCCAGGTTAAGCCGACACATTAATTTCTTTGCGACTGTCTTAAAGAAAATTATTATCCGACAATTAATTTATTCCAATCTCTTAGTCTTTTAAGTACACACTGTTTTGTGATCCCAAGATTTTGTAATGTTAACTTTTTATTAAGAGTCTGTCATTGCATCGGCCGTCGATCGTTAAATTTTCTTCTTCAGAATTTTCTCCTGCACGCAACAAGTCCGAAATATTCAAAATTTAATTAAAATAGTTACATAATTGGCTTGGCCTACTGCTGAAACGTTAAGTACACTTTTCAGGATCGGGAAATTATTCGGCGGATTCAGCGATTTGCGCGATGCTTCTGCCCGACATGCCGAAATTCCCCCTTTACGAGCTCAGCTGCATCGTATTCTTTCTGGTGCCGATGCTCGTGATCCTTGTGGTATACACAAGGATGGGATTGAAGATCAAACGGAGTACCAAAGAAACACTTGGGCCAATACAAGGCTCCTACGTTCACGGCGATCATCGACAGGTTCAATCCAGAAAATCCGTCGTCAGGATGCTAAGTAATCACAATCATAATTCGCCCTCTAATAATTTTTCGTAGCGATAATCGAAAAATTAGCAAATCTAATTATAATTACGCTGTGATTCTTGTCGCAAATATAATTGCAATCGCGCAGTGATGCTTATTGGGTAATAACTTGCTCTCTCAATCGCGTACTTTTCTCTCTTTTCATTCTTGAAATTAAAAAATCTTGGTGATTCAGTTTCTAAATTCTCTACGCGATTGATTTCAGGCGCCGTCGTTATCATGTTTTTCCTTTGCTGGGCGCCGTTTCACGCCCAGCGTCTGCTCTACATCTACGCACAGGATTCCGATTATTACCCGGACTTAAATGAATGGCTCTACATCCTGAGTGGCTGTCTGTATTACTTCAGCACCACCGTCAATCCGATACTCTACAATTTGATGAGCATCAAATACCGCCAGGCATTCAAACAAACGATATGCTGCAGAACGAGACGACCGGCGAGCAAAATTTTAATGGCTAAGGAATCTCATTCACGCAGATGCGATTCCATGAACGAGCCCCACGATCGACGTATTGTATGCTCTGTTAGGTACGAAAGTTCGAAATTTTTCATGGCAGCTTTACAGCTCTAAGAATCATAGATAAATTATATAATAAATATATCGATTTAATGTTACATAATTATATTCTATAGTAAAACGTATTTGTTAAAGACTCAATCTTTTTAATCACAGACACAGTATACATTACAACAATTTTACGGTTTTTTTTTCTTTAGGCATACGATTAGTCAAGTCAAAGAGATATTTTGTTTTACGCCGAGTCGACAAGAAAGTATCAAGGATAGCAACAAAAATAATGGAAATGCAAGCAATTTTCCTCAAAATGCTTACTCGTTACAAAAGGAAGATTCATCCTCGACGTTTCTCTTTGAACGAGGGCATCTCCTCGCTCACCAGCAGCCTAGCAACGAAAGTACAACGTCCACGAAAAGATCAGAAGATACTGTTTCCGTAGCTAAAAGCAGTCTGTGATCTATTTTCATTCGCCTTTATTTAGCTACAGATACAATGCGCATTGTCGCATATAAAACTAGACAGTCTGAATTATCGATTATAAAGCGCGAAACGGCTTTACTATATTGTAAATAGAATAGATAGCCAGAATTATTTTTTTATCGATTATAATAGCGCGCCAAAATTCGTTTTATACTATTTATTCCAGAATAAAGTTTTACACATATTATGCCTGATGTTTATTTTATACGTTCGTGAATTTATTCAATTTTAGACAAACGCGGTTTGGGTTGTCAACACAAAAATAATAATTTTCGTCCAGATGCTGATTATCTCCATACAAATCATGATATATATTCATGTCGGTAAGCTATGCTTTTATAAAGATAAATTTGCAGCAATAATGATTCAGATGAGTTTTTAATAAAAATCATTGTCAAGCTCCAACTCATTTCAGCAGTAATATTATCAGCTTGGTCAAACAGTTGATTCTCGGCGTGTAACATACATTCATCTTTTTGCAAAAATAAAACGTCATTTGTAGCAATTAATATCTTTCTACACAAACAAAATGATATTCCTTTATATCAAACTTTTTCTATTTCCTCCAATTTATGATCCTTCGCTTTATTTAATTACCCAAGTTAGTAGCCAACCATTAACAATAATTTCACTGCTCTACAATCGAGTGACAAAGGCCATGCATTTATTTCGATTTAAATGAGATACGTGTTATGTGCATAATGCACATCCTCCTTTGCTTCCTCGCCTCTCGATGCCAATAAGGACGAGAAGAATATTCAGTGTCGTGTAATTATTTATTACACGTCCGTAACTTTAAAGTCGCGTGAACAAGTCATAAACGATGTCTTTTTGCTGTATCAAGAAACTTATGAAAAGCCAGTATAATATGTACATTCATTGTATTCGTGTTCAAAAAAAAGTTCGCCATTCATATTCAGAAATTCTTAATAAAGACAGACAGGAGTTCTTCTGTTGAATAAAATTCCTAAGACCACTCTCGAGCATACTTGGATTTTTATTAGATTAGATTTCAATAAATTCATACGTGTAGTACTTGTACTAAACAAATGAAATAAGTTCTAAATAATTCGATAAGTATATGAGTCGATCGAAATGTCAAAAGTCCCTCTCCTAGGATTAAAGTTTCCAAGAGTCTCCTGGAATAAAAACTACGAAAAATCTAGATTCTTTCCTTAAAAAATCTGTTAACGGCGCGTCGCAAAAGGTAGTAATTTTACCTTTTGTTATAAAACATACCGTGCATTTCTGTTACCGTACAAAGTTACACTGATTAATTTCTGCTTTGAATCCAAGAGGGTTGGATCGATCGGTTTCCTGCATTCAGTGAAACCTCCAATGAACAGATTTATTAGAACTGTTAGCTATATTTTACACCATTAATCACGACTACATAGACCGTAGAGAAGTCTTTGGTTCCGCTTTCCAGTAACAAATCACTAACGCGTTAATTATAAATGAAGTGTACACGTGGCGTCTCGTTCCTCGTACTCGTATATACTTCAACCAATATTGAATCGATTTTCCTTTAGCGAGAATTTCATGGCATATATAATCTCTCTAGAGTTTAGTTTAATTTGTTATTAGTTCCATTTCAAATATTCCCCGTGTAACAAATCTTAAAGTTGTGCAAAAATAAAGTTCTGATAATGTCACTTTTGCCAGTATTTCCACAGCTAATAGAAAAAGGTGAGTTGTCCCATTAATTTCGTAAAAAGAGATTGAAAATACACATTTGCAGCACTGGAATATCAAGAACTTTCTTGCGGTATAAAGTAAAAGTAACTTATGCGGCGAGGTTATTTTTGTTTCGTATAAAATAAGTAATTAAGTTATATAGCATAAGAATATTTATCGAAGAACTTTCAAATTAAATTACAAAAGTTTACAAGAAATGTATAAGAAGAACCTCTTATCTCTCTTTCTCTCACAAAGGACGCATGCGTTGTGAACTGACATTGTCCCGCGTACTATTAAATATTCCATATCTTCATTTAAATAAAAATTCAGAAAATTTATAAAAATTCTTTAAATTTAATTTGAAAAGTGTTGTCGGAAGAAAAATTCAAAAATTAAACTATGTTTAAGTAATGCTTAAGCCCGAACTTATTTCTCGAACGTGGAGCAACAAGATTTAATTCTTATTGAGCTATCAAACAACGTATGAAACTACAATGATAAAAATGTCAAATTATATATAGATACAATGTTATCGATCACTGTTGTGAAATGAGTTTCTTTTTCATATCAACCACACGATTTGTATTCTAGAAGAGGACTGTTATCCGTCGTGATAACATTTGCAATATCTACTACTGAAATATAAGCAAGCATCTTACGGATTCTCGCAAAGAAAACATCGAATTAGTGAAATTTCAGAAGCGCCGTAATTATAGATAGATAGTAGAACTAAGAAACATGCTAACGTCTCGTAAACGTTCGATGAAGATTTATCCCGAATCTGGCTGAAAGTTCCAGGAGAGTTACAAACAAGTTTATATGTTCGTAAATGCTCGTAAATGCTTGTAAAACTTTTGCTGATCTATTACGCGAATTTCGCTAAATGCAAACTTAAATTATACCCGCAACTTGCAAATTATTTTACATGGATTAAGAAATTTGGAGATTTTTTACTGTAAAATTCGGAAATGTCAAAGAAATAATAGAGAAAAGGACACAAAACGCTGCTGATATAATTATTTATATGTTTAAATTTATTTAAAATTTACATATTTTAGTATAAAACTCAAAGCAGATTTATATTGTATATTCATCGGGTACTCAAGCTGGATGCTCTTCTCCAAATTGGATTGCCATATAAATTTGGATGCAATGTTGCAAAAGACGATTTCCCCAAGTCGGTTTCAAGAAAATCCTATTTATACTACAGACCAATTTGAGAAAATCTTTCTCATCTGCATATTTCGATAGCAAAAATGCGCGAGTAAAGTTGCAAGCGTGGAAATTCAGCAAAATAAATTCTAAGTAAAGCATATCGAACAAAATCCGCCATTTCTTTCATGAAAACTTATTTTTCCATAACCAGCGAATAAAGAGATTCTAAAATAATTAAAAATTTTTATCAAAATGCTGTTTTGTAAACCATTTTTCAGATTAGTAATAAGAAGAGTTGAATTATTCTACAAGATTATGTTATTTCTTCATTCTTGAAACGTCTTGTATTAACTGTTTTTTAACTTCCCAGAGAACATGCATGTCTAAAAGACATCTTTAAGACGTCTGTTAAACGTCTATTAGACGTCTTAAAGATGTCTTTTAGACATGCATATTCTCTGGGTTCTCTCATCGTTCAATAGCGATATTTAATGCAACGTAACGAAACAGATATTTTGCAGTTACTCTCACATGCCGTAAATAATGGCTGCGCAATTACGGCAGCAGTAATGTTTACCGCTTGCAATTCTGCGAATGCTTAGTACCGCATTAGATACTCCAAGATAATATGCAAAACCTCACTATGCAAATTCCACAAATGTAGAAGCTACAGGTCGTGGAATGCCGCGAATAAAATACAAGGGTATTTTCTGACGCATCGCGTACCATCTTATTTCCTTTAGAAAGAGCTTCATATTTTGCGTCACTCTTGCTTTACAGCTTCATAGTTTTTCGGTCTAGTTAATTTCCCAGAAGGAACAGAATGTCGTTATTAAAATTTAATAAACCCGAAAAACGCTACGCACAGAAGTTTCTCGGAGTTTCGTTACCATTACATGAGGCAACATATTCTCACATCTTCGTGAAGTAACATTATGTATAAAACTAACTTTTTGAAACAAGGTAAAACAGGTAAAACATATTTAAATTAAATTAAAACGAATTTGTTTTAATGTATACAACTTCTATTCTTTTTATAATTTTCATCCTCTCTCCCTATCTTAGCAATTTTATTCGGAAAATGTGACGTTAAAAGGAACAGACATAATTTTAACGGGAGTCCGCTGCTTTTTGTTTCGTTGCACATGTGACAAATTTCAGATAGTTACGGTGTTTAGGCAGCATGATAAATTTTTCTCGTGCAAAATGTAATCCGCGTTTGCAACATTCGTGAAAAATGTACTACGGTTTTCCGCGCGTGCTGAAATGTTGCGCGAGTAATCCTCGGTCGACGCGGTGACATGATAAATTTGACTCCCGTAAAGTTTCTCGTCCGCATGAAAGAACTGACCGTCTTCGCTGTAGCGCAGCCTCTTGCAACGATCATAAGATGCGTATTGCCGACAGCGATCGCGCAATTAAAGGGGCCACGATCTTTACGCTGGGTAAGGCCTCAACGATTTGCGAAATGACCAATTGAAAATGACCTGTTTGATCGATCCCGCTTTCTCCTTACAGGCGCGAAATCTTCTTTAGTCCCGCTATATTTAGTGCGTTTCTATGCGTATGGCATGAATAAGGACAAAAATGAAGAAACGTTAATTCGACACTTTCGTTAGCGTGGTAAGCACTAATTGTGCGGAAAGAAGTGAAAGAACGGCGAGAAACGCTTGACAAAGAGGTATTATAATCGCAATGTGCCTAACGATTCCCGTTTTTGCCCGCATTCATCCATCGTGATACGCGTGAACCTATGTTACATCGGGAAGATTATGGATCCAATCGCGACAAGTTATCACTGATAGTAGTTAATGGTACGTCGGTCTAAATTAAGTAAAGTAGATCGATGATACGCGCGTCTTGTTGGTAATGTAATCTCTATTGGTAATGTAATCGGTAATGTAATCTCGTATGCGCGTGCAAGCGTGCCAATAAATTGCAAACTTATAAACTCTGGAAATTGAGATTTCATATCGCGCGCTGCACTTATTCGGAGATCTATATCGAAATCAACGATAATGTTCACCGGCGGCCGTAAATATTTCGTGCGAATACATTCTGCATATCATCACATTTCCAATACATACGGCGTTCTGCCGACTCGCAGATTAGAATACGCATTGCGATTTATCGATCGTTAGAGTTTACTCATATACATAAGGGATGCAATGCAGATGCATTATTTGCATATAAATAAAAGGCTGAAAATGTGTGGCAAGTATAAAACCGACTTGCCGAGAAGATTCTCCGTAAATGGCTTTTTCAAGAGCCGGAACATTTTTGCTTCCTTTTTTATATGACATTTGACTTTTCGCGGAGGCTAACCGTTGGGTACATTAAATCGCGCAACAT